TTGACAAGGTAACTCTTCTTCCAATCACCAGGTACGTTTCCTTCCTTCCAGACCTTCTGTAATGGTGGTGTGAGCATGTTCGCTGTTGTCTCTGAGTCTGCTCTCAGTGCTTCTGGAGGGATTCTATCTGGTCCTGCTGCTTTCCTGCATTTCAGTAGCCTTATGGCGTTCAGGACTTTGACTTTTGTTGAAGGATTTGTGTTAACTCGTAGTTCGGTGGCTGGGCTGCAGGTGGTATTTCTGGACAGAGTGCAGGTGGTGGTTGCTTCAGGAGCCTTTTGAAGTGGTCAGCCCATTACTTCCTTTGTTTCTCTTCTTTGGTAATTAGATTTCCTCCACCATCCTTTATTGGTTTCATCTGTGTTGACCTCTTCCCTAGCAGATATCACTAACCCGGTTATTTGATACAATGTTGTCAGGTCTGAGTGTCTTCTACCTGCAGCCTGTTCTGCTTCACTTGCCAGTGTGTCGTGGAAGTGTCTCTTGTCTTTGCACGCACTCTCCTTCACTTCTTTGTCCAGTGCAGTGTTTTATACATTGTACTCAGTTCCTCCTCTATTTGAGCATCCTTGCACTGGTTTATCTTCTGCTTCACCATCCTCCTCTCCCTCCTCCATCAGCTTCCATGTGTCCGTCAAGATCCATTCCTGATCTTCTTTCTTCTTCTTCCTTCCTATTACGGTTATGCAGGTTTCTTTCCACATAGCTTTCAAAGACTTCCAGCGTTCACCCACACAGGTTTCTTCAGAGATGTTCCTCGATATCTCCTTTTTTGTCTCGATGGCTGACGTGAAGATGTCCATGGTAGTTTCATCCTCCGGTTTCTGTTCTGGGTGTAGAACTTGAACTCTGGTCTATCACCAACTTCATTGAAGGCTTTTAACTTGATTTTGAAGGTTCCTTGTACTAGACAGTGGTCTGAGCCTACATCTGCATCCCTTCTTGACCTTGCATCAAGTAGGCTGCCTCTCCACTTTCTTTACATTGAGATAAAGTCGATCTGGTTTTCAGTGTGGCCATCTGCTGAAGTCGAATCCATGTCGCTTTGTGGGTATCCTAGTGCTTGAACACCAGTGCCTCACTGCAATCACCAAATAGTTGAATGCACAGAATTCTGCACGAAATTCTCCACTCTCGTTCATTTCACCTAGCGCTTCTTGACCCATGGTTAGTTCTCTTCCTGTGTTGTCCGCTCCCCACAGTTTGGCATTTATGTCACCCATTAGAATTTTGATATCACCAACTGAGGTCTAGTTCAGTGTTGATTGCAGTTGTCTGTAGAATTCGGGTGTTATATCATGTGTATTTTTGTCAGGTATCCATTTCAGTGATTTATTGAAGGGTGCAGCCCCTTCGAATATATATATATATATATGTATATATATGTATGTATATATGCATTCTAATTTCAAGTATCTCAGCTCGTGAAAATTTTAGATATATTATTTGCAGCAGAGCGGTCAGTGATCTTTGGATTCGTGCAGAAAGACGGTTTTCGGTTCAAAGGCGCGTATTCACCCACAAAATTCCTACACTGAATGTTTACTGAGAAGGATGGCTTGTTGAAGTTTTGATGCTAAACTGATTTTTGTTCTCAAGGTGGCATAAAAATTCAACCAACACATCTAGAATAAAGAAAGATTGTGTTCTGCAAAGTTGACAGATTATGTTTCGCCTGCGGGAGGCAGTTAGGTAGGATTTGAACAAATTGGTTGGAAAGAGCATACTTATGCAAGTGAAGTCTTCGAAATGAGATTTGCCTGTTTTGATGGCACTGAATGTAGACGGAGTTAAACGAAGAATCTGCGGTGGTTACTGTCTGGGGCTTAAAAATTCACTGCAACTTCGCAGTTGGACTACAGAGGAAACTAGGTGCACTTTTTTCGAGTAACGCGGTTCGAAATACTTCTTTAAAATAGACTTGAAATATGTATATTAACAAACTACTCTTGGTCAAGGTTGTCGTGTATTGACCACCGTTTATGCGCCATATAAAGTGTTTAGGTATAGGTTCTAACTCTTTTGTTATTCACTTTTCAGGTTTACCTAACCAGTCCTGCATTCAAACGGAATCCCAGAAATTGCATTTGTCAGTGGGAACCTTGCCACCAAAGCCTCATGACGAACGCGCACACCTCAAGGTCATGAATGTGGTGCCGCCTCATCTTCAAGAATGTTGGAAGACTTAAACAATGACCGAATAATTCCTAATTTCAAACTGAGCCTGCTTCAACACACCCCTTATATGCCATAAATAACGGTATCTAATGTATAGCTTGACATCGTATATAATAGTCATTTCTCATTGCCAAAATGATCAAACCTGTAGACTGGTTTTTTCTCATGTAACCTTTATTGTACGAAGTATATTATTATTATTATTACCAGTATCCTCGCCTCGAATATTTCGAAAAACTGTGAATAGGATGATAGCCATGACTGATAATGTAGCATCTCATTAGGAAGATAGTGTGGTTCATGGCCCTGGTGTTGTCAACCAAATCTGTTCCAGGACTTAGATTTAAGACATAGATCGGTCAAATACCCAGAATCACTCATTATAAAAAAGGATCAGGCACAAAAGATCATCCAGTTCATATTAGTCTGCAGAACAGAAACGGGATGTTGGATATCACTTTGGGCTCGGTAATTCATATACCACCAGCTTGCTAGCTGCCATTGACGACTGAACACCCGGATAGAACAACGGGAAATCGGTACTTGCTGTTTTCCTCTGCTGACTAAAGCATTTGGTTGTGTTCCACCTACATTCCTGTCTCACAAGATCATGTCGGCGGGTATAAAAGAACCCCTACTCACTTGGTTCACGAAGTACCTGCAAAGCAGGCAGTTCTGCACCAATGTGAACGAAATACGGCCTAACTGAATACCACTGAGGTCTCAGGTATCCCAAGGAGCCATCCTGGGACCACTTCCGTCCCCCCTGCCTGTCAACGATCCAGCAGATAAAATGCCCCCACCCGTCTTCCTCTTCTCTGATGACATTGTGAATTGAAGAGTAGTACAGAAGGACATGCAGCAACGAAAAACTGCTTGAGCTCCAACCCGGTGAAGTGCATAGTAACACACTTTAGTAAATAAGAAGCGAAGATGTCCGTCTCCTAATACATTTTGGGCAACCATGCCATCACCATAGTGTCCACGGGGAGGATTTGGGGCTCAACTCCGACACCTTGAATACAAGCCCCACCCACAAAGATATGGCGGCCAGAGTTGATGCCACGTTGCACGTTCCACGTAAACAGCCTGGTGTCCCCACCCATGAACTGGTTCCCACTACTCCGAATCCTACATGCGGCCTGGCCCGGGAGTTTGCAGAACGGTAGCACCTCCTAAACTCAAGAGAGACCCTGTAGCGGCCAGAATCCAATAATCTTGGCCTGAACGCGGGAAATAGCTAGGCGGTGCCAACTGACGTGAATCTGACTAGTTCCTGCGTTCTACTGTATAGCTTCCTAACTTCCGCGAGTGACGCACAGTCAAAGGTTGGATCGAAATATCAAAACACGGTTTGTAGTAATTCAATAGTAGATTCGTAACAAAATCTGTGGTACTATCAAAGCAACAATAAGTTATGTCAAATTACAAAAATACCTCAACAGTGCCGTTGGGTAACTATACAGTCCAAAACGTTCTCGGGTACAAATACGAACTACACGGTAAAAACTGGTTAAACAAATACAACTGCTAAATACCTGTCGGTCAATAGGAATATTCCCGGCAAAAGGGATCAAAACTCTGCCTACAGGAATCAAATCAACAAACAAACGTTCCCAGTAGACAGTCAAAAGACTAACAGTCAAATCACTGCACAACCGTAAGTTGAACCAAAACAAAATGTCGTGCGCAGTAAAACAACATCACCGTATCAACAGTACAGCGTCACATAATAGGAAAGTGAAACACTCATAATAAGTCTCAAACATACAAAGGCAAATACCGAGTGTAAAGTCAAATAAGACAGTTAAACAAGCAAATAACATTACACCGGCGAGGGTCAAAGGTACACCATCCACAACGAGGGTAAAAATGTTAAAATAAATGTCAATACAATCAAATAAGGGTGATCGGGAGGGATTTTCAGATCATTTTTCCGTTACAGACCCTGGTCTCCTTGAAAGGACATAAGGATCTGCAACAAAACCAGTCGTGGGACCAAGGAGGAAGGAATACTCCGAAAGAATAAAGCACCTGAACCCATTCACCCTGAGCTATCGCAGAAAGAGGAGTAACCTGATTATAGTCTCCAAGATAATCCATCAGGCAAACCGCACAAACAAACTAGTCTTGCCCGAAACACAGTGGTCATCGCGAGAAAACTCCATTAGGGTAGCATATCGGACAGCTAACGCCATTCTTGAGTCAAACGTTTTCCCCTTGAGAGGGTGTGCTTTAGAGAATGCCCCACCACCAATATATTCACAGCCCCCCGGTAGACACATACCAAAGACTGTTGGAAACTCACGTCATCCCGCATGGTTTGCCACAAACATACTCGGATGGTTACTAACCTCACCAGCCCACCATCACTACTTTCCACTTGCCACTCACATCCTTTCTTCCTGATACACCTACACTATCTACTAACTCGTCTCCGCAACTAGACCTATGCTTTATACATTTACCTTCCGGGTGAGTCGCACATACTATTTCTCCCTGTCTTGCCATTACTATTCGGGAAACCAAACAGGAAGGAGTCATAACAGACTCCTAATCGTCTCAGCAACCAGTAGCCCCACAATCAATCTACAAATTGCAATTTACTAACCCACAGAACACTCACCCCATCCGGGCTAAAAGTAAAAATCAAAAGAGATTCTCTGCTTTACTCTAGGAGCAAACCGAACGACTTGAAACAAGCCGTGAGAAATGGACGTGAAAAGTCAAAAACTATCAGTTTTTTACTCTTCGAGTATCAACGTTGAATGTTGAGTGTTAGTAGCGCGTTAAACGAGCATTGCGGTGATACACGCTGAAGGATGAGCAAGCAGTTTTCTGAAGGATATTCTGTTTTGCGAGACGATGTTCGATCGTTTATCATTAGTCTCCATACTCATATACAAGAGCAAAATGTAAAGGAAATTGAAATTGATACCCAAGTCAAGTAAATAAGCGGTGTTTCATATGTGATTATAAACTCAGGTTTCCTAAATTAACAGAACAGTACTTCATGAGTACTAGGTGGCCGTCTGTGGAAATCGTTTCTCAAATTGTCGATGCTGGTATTGCGCCTTTTTAAGTAATCGTCTTCCTCCAGAACCATTGTTTCTGTGGTTGTATAACGAATTATACTATCGGCATATATACTCTCATGTGAGCACGGGTCTGACGCTCGAAGACAGAATTCAGTCGTATGCTAACTACTGTTTGTTATTTGGTGCTCTTATTAGTAAGTTATTATCAATAGTGAACCAATAAAACAGTTTATCATCATAAGGATATATTTTTATGTAATCCCAGCGAGTTTAGAAAATTAAAACAAGATATTTCTGAACGTTTTGCTGTGTAATCTGCAGCTTCTACAGCAGAATATACGGATATCCGTATATTCTTAGCTCTTAACAATCAATAGTAAGCTAGGCATCCCTAAGTTTGCAGGCGGTTCATGGCTTTGTCAAAATCAGCTGCTAAATCCTGAAGTCATGGCAAAGCAATGTATATGGTCACATGTAAAGCTGCATTCCCGTCGATCAGTCTGGCATCACCTTATACAGATTTAGACCTGATAATCTTCTAATCTTTCATCAATTTCGCTACAATATGAAACCTGCATATGAGTAGGTAGCTCATGTATTGCACAAGGGTTTGCGGGTAAAATGAATGATTTATCATGTGGTTGTTATCATCATTGTATTGTCTTCCATCTAGTTACTGCTTCACAGTCTAGTCCACATTTGTCATCGTTGCTTAAACTTATTACTATTTTTACTTAGTGGTCATATAAGTTCCACAAGTCGTTTCAACTAATCGGAAAAGTCATTTTTCCTCCCTTCGTAATACATCCGGCTAAGTTACGTAGTGAGGATAGTTTTTGCGCGTATACAACTTCCTTATTTTGGAAATGCTGACTGTTCTGTTCAGATTACTACAGATTTCAAGGTTTTACCAACAGGAAAATCTATCCATCTTGGGTAACTTGTGTCCATTGGCTTACTAGATCAATATACTGCTAAGATTTCGGTAAATTCCCTGTCGTTCAATACACTTAAGCTCCCAGTTTCAGCAATTCTTATATTTGTAGTCACACACCCAACAACTGTTTGTACTTCTTAGCCAAACTATTTCCATATTTTCCTGAATTCCTTTGGCGAACCAGTCATTCAATTAATATTGACATGAAACTTGGCATTACTGTAAAGGGGTTCAAACGTGCAAACGTATCCACACCGTGTCTTCATCTTGACCGTTATGTCTCATTTTGTTAATTGTTTAACCAACATTTCATTCATTATATTGCCTTAATCATATTATTTATTTATAGGTCCCTCGTCTTCTTCCTTGTGTCGGTATACTGAAGTGTGAGTAATTGAACCATTGTGCAGCAACGCCAGATTTTATGTTGATGTTGACTGATATTTAAGGTCTGTTGCAGGTAGTCAATCAATCAGCGTCAACATGGGGCCCTGCAATACTTTGTCCAAGTTGCCACCTCTTATTAGTCCATCAAGGTAGAAAGCATCGAGAAGAAAGACTAATAAGGAACAGTGTGGTCGAATTTCGTGAAAAGTAATGAGATCATGAAGAGTTATTTCATGATGATAAGGTTGGAGATAATTTATGGATGAATTTACACCAATGAGATAGATTCCGAGCCACGTCGTCTACCCTTCATCTGCCGATTTTGGTTGTTGTGTGTGCTCCATCTTGTTATCGGAGTCTCATTAATCTAGATAATCAACTTCCAACTAGTGGGTCACGGGTTTAAACCACATCCCATCTACCTAGTTTTGGGAAGTCCCGTACGGTGCAGGTAACCAGCAATTCAAGTTTATCTTACCTATTTACTGTGTAAAGAACGGATTAAAAGTCATAATCTAAAACTGTATGGCTTTCCATAAGTTCTTCCTTCTCCGGCATTAAGGTTCTTTAAGTTTTGACCCAGGAAGGCGTTTCTTAGGCTCTGCGACCACGTAAAGCTGATCTAAGCTCTCTACCGGGTATCTTAAGAAAGCAAACTCTGTGTCACACTATTAACACTAGTAGCTAACAGTACTGCGACTCAACCGGGACAGTTTGTCAACTAAGGATCTGGCATTATTGCGTAGTGATCCAAGTTGCTACACAGCACACCGAATAAGAATCTTTAAGGTAAAGAAATAAGGAAGATCACAGTCAAAAGGGGAAGTCGCCAAAGAGAGCAAGGAGAAATGAGACGGCACTGAAACTAAGTTTGACGATTAACATAAAGATAGTGCATCGGTTCATCTAACCATATCACTTAGAGCCTCCAACCACTGGTTTTGGTTATCGCGTGGACCCCAACCGCGTAGTCTACACCTCCTTACACATGTCAGACCAATAGTAGCAGGTTTTAATCTGGCCACGTCTAGACATTTCCCATCCTGAGCCTGCTTAAACCAACATTGTGAGACGTAGATGGTGGTTAGGCATGCGTAACGTATGTCCCACTTGCCTAAGTTGATGAAGGTTGAAAACTACACCCGCTATCTGGTCTGAAACTTACCTGATGTTCTCAGGTTAGATGCTGCCGAGCCCGATTATTATAGAACCACCAAATCATTTTGTTACTATGTTCTCTAGACCGATTCCCCTATGGTTATCCCAAAAGAATCTCTCTCCTTTCTTGAAGACATAAAACCAATAGTTAAGACCAACCAGAGGAGGCTATATCTTATATTCACTAGCTAACACTTCAATTAACTTGACCATTAATGCACGACCACCGTCCTTAAATATCTCCGATGCTATTCCGCCTGACTATACTGCCGTCCCCCTTTCTAAGTGATTCGCAGCCTTTTCCATTTTTGAAAGTGTTGGGGACCTTCTATCAATGTTCCAGTCAGCATCCGACTGAATGGCGGGCAACGGAATGGTGGCTGGAGGACAACTGATACGTTTCTCAAAGTGTTTCGCTGACCTTTACAGTTCTCTTTTGTGGATGAGTCACAGACCCATGCTTTTCCACTACATTCTCACTACCTATTACCCTTTTTGCTCCAGGTTCCTTGATAATTCCTAGCAGCTGTCTACTGTTACATATCACCGTTGCGATCTCCATCTCTAGCCTTCACTACCCACTGCTGGCTGTGATTATTATGTAAACTTCTTGTCAGCTTGCATTTTAGTTTCATTCCCTCTTCATCGAACTCAGAGCCTATGGGGATGGGTACATCCGCATCCATTAATTCCGAAGAAGTTGCTGAAACCCACCTTCCCTTTCTAATCACTTCCTGAGAGTGTGCTACGGTGTTTTTGCTGTTTCTGGAGCAGACTGGAGATGGCGCCAGGCTTCGTCCGGATGACTGACGTTTTTCCCAAATTCAGTATTTTTTCATCCTTCCTCTCTTTTATTGCTTTCTACTACTATTGACCGACTTTCTTCTCTTTCATAATCTGGCATCCTACTGCGTTGTTACTTGTTATCTTATGGCAACTTGGACCGTTGTGCTGTAATGCTCGGTCGTATGCTGATACTGATTGATTGGTTGACTGTCCCGACAACTGTCTAACTAGTTTCTTGCTAAAAACAACCTTAGCACTCGAGTCATGGAGCTTTGCTCACAGTGGTCTTGTTGCTGTAGCTTTCCTACGTTCATTCGGGTGCAGAAATATGTGATTGCTGTCCAAACATGTGTCCTGAAAGAAGTGGCAGTCTTCTACTGAGCCTCTCCAGCAAGAAACTGATAGCAAAATGGCTTTATCTATGCACTATTGAGTTGAGGTCGATGGACGCCATGCCATCAGACAATTCCCCTGTCTATGTCTAAAGTTCGTGCTGACTATAAATAGATGGTTCTCTGGGCGCAGTTGTAGCTGGTAGTCGCCGTTATTTGTTCGTTCGGCTGGGATTCGGAAATGCGACCTAAGTGCTTTTTTGTCTGACGTGGCCTACCCATGTATGCATTGAAATCACCCGCTGGTAGGAGACTGTAGACTCTGGTAGAGCTCATCCTTCACTTCTTCCCAGATAAAGCCAGTAGGTGCATAAGTAGGGATTACAAAGAAACAGTGACGAGTTTCAGTGCACCATTCAGTTGAGTGAGCAACTCACAGGTTACTGCCAATTGAAATCCAGTCTGGTAGCGAACTTTCTGCCCTATCGTCTAATGTAATGCCTACACCTGCAAAAACACTGAATCTTCAGAGAGTAACTTTTGAAAATTCAGCGTACTGACTGGGTAAGGTTAAGTAAATAACGACACTTAGGTCCTATATATGTGCTATGCACGCGCAACATATATCCATCGTCTGGGATGGCGAGGCTTTGGCTGAGGAGGCTTTTTGATCGACATGATGTAAGGTGCGGACATTGAAAGCTGGAGCATGCAGTCGGGAACGCGGTTTCAGCAGACCAAAGATACTGTTCCACGAACGTGAATCTTTTTGAAGAGCTGCAGAGCTTGAAGAAATTGAAGACGAAATAATATTAATGTAATAATAATTATATGTATCTCCCCAACTCACTGATCCATGGCTCCACACTCGACTATATATGCGCCATTCAGTTGAATGGATTTTTCGAAACTGGAAAGAATTATGACTTATACCAGTTGTAACGTTCATTGAATGTTATTGATTTAACTACTTTTAAGTAACTTATATTTGGAGTACGTTTTCCTTTTTTTTACTCTGATGATTCACTGTTCGTTATTTTCCGGATATTTATGGTTGTCTGGTAGATTGACGTAATGAGTCAACCGGCAGTTGTATTGAGATTGTCATTTTTACTTATTGTTTACGGTAACTCACTTGCCTCGCTGTTATAAAACCTTGGATGTGAGTTTGCAAATAAAGGACCACTTAGTACTTCGAGAAAACGAAACAGTCTTCTTACTTGGAGCAGCTCTTAGGTGAGTATATCCACGTGAAGCTGACATCAGTATGTTTGTGATCTTCACTCATGAACCGAATAACCGCTGTTTGGATGACTTTCAGACTGGACCTTAACCAAAGCTATTGATCTTATCATAGACTCCCAAATTTTGAAGTATGATCATACTAACTAGAAACAAGTACCCAAATTAAAAAGTTGAGCCAGTCAAAAAAGGCATCTGCAGCATATCTTCGAAATGTAATGTTCGATAACAGTGATCATATAGAAGTTTGATCTAAGAGTCAATTGTTCATGACAAGCACTGGTTTTAGACATAAGGAAAAATAGTGCAACATCATGTCCACCCAAGTAGACGACATAGTCCTATCAGGCGAGGAATCTAAAAGTTTTCTAGATGCTGTAAAAGAATCCCAAGAATCTTCTTCATACCTTGTTACTGAATATCACTGAAAATTCAGGCCTATTAAGTTGTGCTTACTGTTCAGTAAATTTCAGTTTCTACTCATAGGCACCATGAAAAATGATGATCTATTCAGGTAAAAACAAGCAACGGTAGGTTGTTTTTAAATAAACTCTATTCATAGTTGACAGTATAAAATCATGTCCATTTTAATTACTTCTTTCCTCATTCTCTGTATGTAAATGTTGCGTTGACTAGTTAGTACAAACTTTTTTTTTAAAAAAGTGACATTTTCAGTATCTTACATACACTATAACAATAGATTTCAAAATATTATTTCAGATGCTAAAAATCCAATCAATTTGGCTCTTCCTAGTCAATGGATTTGGGATATTATCGATGAATTTTTGTATCAATTTCAAAAGTTTTGCAGTTTTCGTAGTCGTTTAAAACTTAAACCAGAAGATGAAGCATTACTTTTAAAAAATCCAAAAGTATGGAGTATACACAGTGTATTGAATGTTCTTTATTCATTGGTTGAAAAGTCTAACATCAATGAACAATTAAGCTATTATGCTAAAAAAGGTTAGCCCAATAACTACTACTACTACTACTTTTACTTATCCTTCTACCTAAAGGTTTATGGGGTCGTTTAATTAAAATTTAATAGATACTTTACGTTTTGTCAGATTAAAAAGGTACTTATCAATGTATATGTTAGTTTTTGAATTGAGTATGAGTGTACTGTGAGTATTTTGTAAACCATTGACCGATAACCGAAACATTAGGCTACTATCTAATTTTATATACATACTTCACAATTGGGAACAATATGTCAATAGCTTCAGTGATAATACTTTCTTCGTTTCAAAGAGAAAGAGAAATCCGATTCTTTGATGAGGACATAGTTTTACTGTGATCGTTTAAATGTTCATATGACACCTAGACCCAATTACATATATAGGAACTCAGTAGTAGTAGTAGTAGTAGTAGTAGTAGTACTATTATTATTATTATTATTATTATTATTATTATTATTATTAGTCCTTTGGGTTCCTAATGGAACATAGGGCTTCAGTAGCACGTATCCAGTGACCTCTGTTCTCTGAGATCTTTTGAACTTGGTTCCACGACAGCCCAGAAGCTCTCATTTCCTCCTCGCACGATCTCCTCCTCCAACTCGTCGCTTCCCGTGGGGATTCCACTCGAGCAACTGGCCTGGCTCGTGACGTCCCCAGTAGGCCTTCTCAGTGTAGTAGTACTATATATACACTTAACTCAGCGATGACATCTGAGTAACTAATCTCATATCTAAGCATATCAGGTGCATGCAAGTCATAGTCTCCATAAGTGAGAACAGTGAAGTTAACAGTTTTCTGAGTGTCTAGTTTCAGTCTACATACTATATGTTCGAAAGCGATAACGTAATATGATGCGACTCAACTCGGTACGCTTTTTTTTTTACTAACCTATGAGCCACACTAATTGCATGAAGGATTATGATACTTTCTGGTTACCCAGAGTGAAGTAAATAAAGTGGGATTGAAGCCGAGGACTCATTATTTGAGAGTTGAGTGCTTAAGTCACTAAATTGCACTAATAGTGGACTTCTTAAGCTATATATTCGGTATTCAGGGTGAAGTTTGAGAAATGCCATACCTAACCTTACTTGATTAAAAATCTGCAGTGTCTGGGAGGTCCATCAGGTGATTGCCACAGTTTTGCACATGTTTGTGCCATCACTCCATATAGTTCCTGGCCGTTGGTCTGAGTCATGGATGCAGGTGTAGTCTATCTGACTGGGTTTCTCGAGACGATAGGAATCAGTGGTTGCAAGCTATTAATGACATAGCTGGAAATCGGTCATAATTGCCTAGATGTATTCATTTAAAGGTTTTAACCAACCTTAATTTTTAAATCCCCTTTCCTTTACATCTTTGTCCACTTTAATATCGCTTTCCTCTATCCACTTGTTGTTTTTGCATACTACTCTGAAGTGTGGCAACTTGAACCGGTGAACTCCTGTGCGAGGTTCTATGTTAATCTCAGTCTATCTATCTGTGTGTACATGTTTGATGCTGAGCAATGAGTGATTGTATGCATTGGTAAAGTAGTTAACGCTGAATACCATTTACATTCGCTAATACTTTTGTGATGCCACTTATGATATTTGTTCACCTGAGCAGAAAAAACCTGCTTCTCTGTCCTCTCATATGAGCATAGACACAGAATGAGACATCTTTGGAACTCATATGTTTACTCAATGGACACAGAATATCGGTCAAGTCTTTATCTCAATTTCATGGATTTTCAAAACACCTTCGACAACGTCGACCGAGAAGTAATTTAGCAGCTGCTTCAACACTACAGTGTTAGTGCAACAAACCCTTATCAACCTCATTCAACCAATATGTGCTATATGGTGCTACATGCCAAGTGATTCACAATGGAAAGTTCAGTGACGCCTTTGAAGTGAAGACATGGGGAAAGGAGTAAGACAAGGATGCCTACTATCTATCACCGATCGTCTTCCTGATTGTGGTCGACTGGACTGGACTGGACTGGACTGTATCATGCAACAAACTGTGAGGAGCGAGAAGATGGGCATACGCTGGCTGGACCGATGGAATGACCCCACAAGAAGATTGGATTTCGCTGATCACGACTTATGTCGAATGTCTTGTTTCACAAACTCGAAGATCTACACACGGAAACCAACAAGTTGACAGAAGAGGCAGCGAAAATGGGACTTATTTCAGGTGAGTATAGAGAAGACGGAGGTGATGAAGATACCCAACCACCACCACCACCAACAACAACAAGCATCAATCATCATCAACGAGAGAAACCTAAAGGAAGTTGTCTCTTTCACCCACCACCGAGGCAGGCAGCATCGTTTCAAGTAAAGGCAGTGACACAGATCAGGAAGTGAAAGCCAGGATCGGAAAGACACCGAGACAGGACTTCATCAACCTGAAACCAGTATGGAGATCTACTGCACTCCACTCAGCATTAAGCGTGAACAACATCCGGATTTTCAACACTAATGTCAGTCAAGTCAGTGCTTCTGTGTGATCATTGAGAAACTTGGTGCGTTATGAAAGGTATTTCCAACAAACTACAGACATACATCATCAACAGCTGCCACCCACGCTTGTTACTGAAGATCAGATCAGATCAGATCAGATGGCCAGAATAATAAGAATAAGTAAGAAGGAACTCTGGAAGCGAGACAACCAAGAACCTATCGCCCAACAAATATCCAGAAGAAAATGGAGATGGATTGAATTGGGCATACATTAAGACAACCATTCGGGGATATCACGCTCCAGGCCAGACTGTTTAGGGGAATCCGCATGAGAGACGACGAGTCGGGTGTCCCAGTTGAAGGTGACATGGATGAGATCATGTGAGGAAGGAATGAAAGCTTCTGGGGAGCGGTGGAGCCAGGTTGGAAAGACTTCAGAGAAGAGAGTGGAATGGAGGCGTGCTACTGAAGCTCTATGTTCCACTAGGAACCCAGGGGACAAATAAATAAATACTAAACTGAAAAGATTTTAAGTGCATTTCAGTTGTCTGATAACATTAGGCATTCGGGGAGTCCTATACGGTAACAACTGTTGTCACATTTAGCATTCCTCATCTGTCATAGTTGCTTATCTAAACCATCTGAAAGATGTTAAACATGAACCTTTCTGTTATAGGTGATCCAGACGAGATTGCAGATGAGTTTGGTCGTTGTTTTCTCTATCGAATGCTTGGATTCTTCAGTCTTATTGGACTATGTCGATTACATTGTTTATTGGGTGATTATTATACAGCAATTAAAGTTTTGGAGAATATTAAAATTGATCGTTTAGTAAGTGATTTTATTCTGTGTCAAATCGAAAAAATTGTTTTGGACATTGTGTGATAATTTGAATAATTTTTCTTATCCCAGTAGACTGATTTTTTTTAAAATTTCCATCGAATTATTTTGGGATTAATTACTGTTGGTAGACGCTTTCGTTCCACTTCTGTTCATGATCGTCAATTGGTGAACATTGCGAAATGAAGTTGAAGTGGCTGAGTGAAGAATAGGAAAACAGGTGAACGCTACTGATGCCATGAGGTACTTGGACTGGATACGAAAAGCGTGAGTCCCCCCCCCCCCCCACCTCTGAACCTTATGTTTCACTTAACCGCGAAAAGCAAAAGACAAAGATCAGCCTGTAACTGTAATGAGGACATTTTATTCGACAAAAAGCACATCATTTATGTACAGTTTTCATGATTATGTCAAACCATAAGGTCAGAAGTTAAATGTCTCATTCTAATTGGTCATCTATGGGATAAACTATCCAATGAGCTTTTTCCTGACCACAAAGTGATATGAAACAAACATGAAAATGTAAAACGTTCTACTTCAACGTCTGATGACTTGAAATCTCGATTTCCATCTAGACCGTTTCTTGTCAGAAGTGAATTATGATGTTTTTCTCATGAATTCAGTAACCATCTATCTTGATGAAAGTATTATTACACAGATATATGATTCTGCCCTACTTGTTGGCTTAATTTGGTAAGTGGTATGTATTTATTCTTTTCCACACAGATTGAGTTTGAATCTGTAACTATAAACCGAGTAGTCACTCAAACTGGGGAACATATTTGTCAACTTGTATAACACAACTCTTTCAGACAAATCGATAAAATCAGCATAATACCTAGAACTACTGCTGAGATGAAACACAAATAAATAGGGAAGAAAGCAGTCAAAGGTAATAAGAAATTACTAAAGGGGGCAAGGAATGAGAAAATGCTGAATTTTAGTTTGAAAATTCAGATAATATGCGGATATGTCTGTGCCAATGAGATTGATTTCGAGCCATATCACTCATAGTCTACAGCCACTGGTTTCTGTTGTTACGCAGACCCTAAACGGGCAGTTTCATCCCCTCACGACACGTACAACTCAAACTAACAGTCAAAGATTTCAGTGACTGATGCTATATTTTAGTCTGGCCATCTGACTCAGTCACCTGATTTGATGACAGTTCTCAGCCTCATCAGCTGACTCTTCTATTTTCCCATAAACTCTCCGTCTGACCTCTACGGTAATGAAATGGTGACGCCACGACACATGGCTTATACAACGAAGGTAACGTTGGGGAAACACGTCAAGCCTTCTCATTTCTTCTACCTTCATGTTTAACACTCATATAGTATATAAGAGGGAAGTTTATCGCAATACATTAGACGCTTGATACGCATCATGGTCGCCCTGTAGATGGCGTAATTTGGCGAAAGCCAAATGGATTTCTTTTCGAAAAGATCTGACTCGTCGTCTCTCATGCGGATTCCCCTAAACAGTCTGGCTTGGAGCGTGATATCCCCGAATGGTTGTCTTAATGTATGCCCAATTCAATCCATCTCCATTTTCTTCTGGATATTTGTTGGGCGATAGGTTCTTGGTTGTCTCGCTTCCAGAGTTCCTTCTTACTTATTCTTATTATTCTGGCCATCTGATCTGATCTGATCTGATCTTCAGTAACAAGCGTAGGTGGCAGCTGTTGATGATGTATGTCTGTAGTTTGTTGGAAATACCTTTCATAACGCACCAAGTTTCTCAATGATCACACAGAAGCACTGACTTGACTGACATTAGTGTTGAAAATCCGGATGTTGTTCACGCTTAATGCTGAGTGGAGTGCAGTAGATCTCCATACTGGTTTCAGGTTGATGAAGTCCTGTCTCGGTGTCTTTCCGATCCTGGCTTTCACTTCCTGATCTGTGTCACTGCCTTTACTTGAAACGATGCTGCCTGCCTAGGTGGTGGGTGAAAGAGACAACTTCCTTTAGGTTTCTCTCGTTCATGGTGATTGGTGCTTGTTGTTGTTGGTTGGGTATCTTCATCACCTCCGTCTTCTCTATACTCACCTGAAAGAAGTCCCATTTTCGTTGCCTCTTCTGTCAACTTGTTGGTTTCCGTGTGTAGATCTTCGAGTTTGTGAAACAAGACATTCGACATAAGTCGTGATCAGCGAAATCCAATCTTCTTGTGGGGTCATTCCATCGGTCCAGCCAGCGTATGCCCATCTTCTCGCTCCTCACAGTTTGTTGCATGATACAGTCCAGTCCAGTCCAGTCCAGTCGACCACAATCAGGAAGACGATCGGTGATAGATAGTAGGCATCCTTGTCTTACTCCTTTCCCCTGTCTTCACTTGAAAGGCGTCACTGAGCTTTCCATTGTGAATCACTTGGCATGTAGCACCATATAGCACATATTGGTTGAATGAGGTTGATAAGGGTTTGTTGCACTAAAACTGTAGTGTTGAAGCAGCTGCTAAATTACTTCTCGGTCGACGCTGTCGAAGGTGTTTTGAAAATCGGTAGAGTTGAGTTGGAGAGTTGACTTACATTCTGTGCTCTGTTGTATGATGATACATAGCGTAGCGTTGCAATTTCGTCCGCACGTGGTATCCAAGTAACGTAAGTATCATTGTGTTGTGATAAATTGTTAGTTACTTCAGAGGGTGATCAAATGTTTTGGTCTTTTGGTAGGACAGGATATAAATATGCTTGTTCAAAAACTGGAAAAGAAAATTTTTAGAGAGAAAATAGTATCTGGCTTTGTTGACATGAAATTACCAGAACATTGTTTGTATTTATAGTTTGGTGCTAAAATATATGATCTCTTTGGGGTAACATTTATGTGTCTTTTGTCATTTATCCATTTATAACTAGCTATGTTGGTCACAAACGTTTTTCTCTAATTAGGCAACAAATATCTTAGTATAAAAATTCAATGCATGTTACTATTAACCGTTTGAATAATTATTATAACCCTCAATCTGTTTCACGTGTGTGTGTGTGTGTGGTTTACCAGTTGCAAGTGTTCAATCATGAACTATGGTGCATTGGAGACAGCCGACTTTTAACCAATAGGATTTCTAGTTTGAAGTTTGTTGAACCTACTGAAGTTTGATCAGCTAGGGAAATTTGAAAAAAACTTCCCTAAAATACAATTTTACTTCATTGCCTAATGCACAAACAAGTATATAGCTATTGAGTTATATGATTTAGAATACCATGATTGTTAAACCATTAGTGTATACTTACTGTCGGAAATCCCCGTCGTTTCTCCACCTTAAAATCGTATTTACAAGTGTCGTGTATAATTTTATTTGTTTGAATTATAAACTTGGTACAACATGGGCATCGAATAACTCATCATACAAAATAATATAACCACGTGAAGTAGATATAAAAATCCTCTCAACGTACTGAGTTACTTGTATTCATGGGCTCCATTAAGGGGGGTACCAGCAGATTCTAACCCAATGCAATTGTTTTCTATCCAACAATGCCATATCATGCACTGGCCACCTGTTCTCTGCTTCCAACTAGTCCCAGGGTCAGCGAACAATGATCGGTGTGAATTCTTCTTGAACGACATCTCTAACACATGTCCAAGTTGCCAAAGCCACTGTTTCAAGATGATCTCATTTGATAAAGGATAGTCTCCACCACACCGAAACACCCAACCACCCCTATTGGATCGAAAATACAAATTCATTAGATGTCTTCAGCTCCTAGAGGTCAGGTTTCACAGTTGTACAAGAGAACTCCAGCACCCACACGTTGTGTACCCAACCTTTGATATCCAGTCTGAAATCTCATCAGTCACACCTTCACCAGCATTCGCATAACTGCCAAGGTATACAGACTTTTCAATGAGTTCCAGCAGCTCACTGTCAGAAGTGAGTACAGGCACAGACTCCTGATATTCTTGTAGAGGCACTTTGGATGTCAGCGGTGTGAAACATTATTCTTACATGCACTGGTCGCTAACTGATTGAGTGCGTTTTGAGTAGCTTATGTGTTGATGCACAATAAAATGATATCGTTCGCATGCTGGAGATCGAAAAATCTTTCACCTGGTAACAAGTCTACACCACCACCACTCATCTCCTTCTAAATTGTCTTGAGAATGTCATCGATGGCAAAGTTATAGAGGAATTACTAAATTTAGCAACCCTGCCTAACTCCATTGTTGGCTTGAAACAAGCATGATAGGTGGCTGTCTGCCGTCATCCTACTTAAGGTGTTTTGATTTATGGCTTTCAGGATGTGGACAAACTTCTTAGGGAAACACCTCTTTAGGTACCGCCGTTCACATTCAGTCTGACATCGTGGAATACAACGATCATGGATTTGCAATGCGGACAACCGTTTTACAGCATCTAGTAGAGGGTCAGCACGTGACCAATGCACCCACGATCTGAGCCAAACACCAGTTTCTTGTTGATCACTTCCTGAGTGTTTCGCATATCCTGCAAATTATGATAAAACCTCATACTTTATAGGCTACTGGTAAGAATAATGCACCGATGTTTGTCACATATTATGCAGTGGCTCCATTGAGAAGTGATAAGATACTGTCAGTCTGTTATAACCTCTGAAATAGCATATTTAGTTCTCTGACCACAGCATCATCAGTTGTTCTCTTTTCATATTCCCAGGATATGTATCACGAAGTGCCTACTTGCCATATAACAACTGGTTATTATGTTGGATTTTCTTACATGATGATGCGACGTTATCAAGATGCTGCTTCCACTCTATTATCGACATTGGCATACAAATCAAGCGCAATTGGTCTAATATCTCAACGTGCTGATCTAAAAGAATATGTGAATAAACAAGCAGATCAAATGATGTCTCTTTTAGCTATCTGCTTAACTATGTCACCTGTCTCAATTGATTACAATGTCGACTTGGACAGACGAGAGAAATTCACTGAAACTATTATCCGATTACAACAGCTGTAAGTATCATCTTTCGATATTCTCTAGTCAAAATATAGAATCGAATCTAATTGTAGAACACTTCATTTGATATTTATAATTTCCTGTTGCTATACAGGGCCTAATCGCTCGACGTCTGTCCTCAAATGGGCTCCTATGCGGATGCCTCTATACTGTTGGATATTCATGATGTTATATTCATCGTAACGACTATTAGAAGAATCCAAAACGTTCGTTTCATCCCATTTAGGACTCGTCAGCTGGATGTATCTGCACCCCAGTGAGTGTTATTATTCCCACTGAGACTCGAACCCCGTACCCATCACTTCAAATGCCAAAGCGTTATCCACTGAGCCACTGGGGCATAATAGGGACTTCTTGTGCAGCGGGTATCAGTTGCCATTTGATACTTGTGATTTCTCGTTGCTACATAGAGCCGAATTGCTCAGCCTCTGTTGGTATCACTCACTAGGGTGCAGAAATATCCAGCTGACGAGAACCGAACAAGACGAAACGCTTGTCTTGGATTCGATTGCTGGCCATCAAGATGAATTTGATTGTTTGGCTTATTTCTTGAATGCTTTACGCTTCATTTCTTGATGTATAATGCAACACAAGTCGCCAACTTTATTACCTAGGTTTTCTGCTATGTTTAATCTTTCCATTTGGTTGTACCGACTTTGGAGCCAAATAATAGTTGTATATTGACTGTCATTCTGTTTTCCATTATGCTTATGACAGGCTTGGGTTATCATATGAACGAGATCTAAAAATATAGAGATAGGGGAACAAGAAACCATCCATGGTATAGAAAATGCTGCGAAAGTAATCAGTTAAATGTCACGAAGAAGCAAATGAGACGAATTTCGGAAGTTCCTAGCAGTTTCCACCTTTTTCACCGGATCACTAATCTAAGTTTATGTCATGGTCTTAGTCAACAGATCCAATAATTCCACAACTAAAATGTCGTAAAACTGATTTCGGTGTGACTACTTCGTTATCTGACCACTTAGTTGCACTTAATCAGCTAGTTAGGCTACCATGAAAGCGACGATGTGTTCCTAAATGCATTAACATGTTTTGCGTAATGCTACTTCTGTATCCTCTTATGCTTATGTAAAGCTATCTTTCAGTGGTTTAGGGAGATGCTCATCAATCATTTGGTCACGGGTTCGAACCCTCCCCCACCTGTCGAGGTTAAGGCAGTCACGTGGTATCACTAACTCTCATAAAAGAGGTGTGACTCAATGCCTGCTGTACCAAGGTGCACGTAGCTGTTGTTGATATGTTTCAGTCAGCCACGATCGCTTCTAAGTGGTATCAATTATTGGTTTCTCCAACTAATGTAGTTTCACGCTTTGATAAATTAAGGGGGGGGGGGGGTTGTAGGGATTTATTGATTTCAAGTTGGTATTCATCATGGACTGACATCAGTTGGAGGAACATTAGAAACCCAGAAGCATTGAATAGCTGTTCCTTCCGGGGATGGGAATCTTCAGCAGTGCTCACCCATGACCCCACCCCGCCAGGAGTTGAGCCCAAAGCCTCTAGGTTCCGTGACCAGCACGTTACCATTGAGCTACTGGGTCGGAATCCAATGGTCCATATTTCTAACTTCTGTCAGTTCGCGACATAGTGCGACCTCCATCCAATATCATTGCTGAATATACATCCTCATGTCCACCATGTTTGCCGTACCTGATTCAAAGCTTAGAAACAAGGGGATCAGATGTTTCTCAGATTTAATGGAGATTGTATTAACTAAACAATTAATCTCTGCAATCACACAGGACAAAAACACCAACGTCAGATCATACTTATTGGTCTTAAGGTGTGGTTTTCGACGAAAACGTTAAAAACCTTCATTGGATAGGGCTTTCTATTTGTAAACTCATTGATTGAGGTAGAGCATATGGGTAGTTACCTATATCAAGTGCTGTTTTTCTGAGTCATCCACTTTCCAATTTGACTTCTGTCTGCAGTACTCTATGTCTCGTTACTGGAGATTCTTTGATGAAGGAAAGACATTGCTAGATTATGACACTGATAGTTTTGTTGCAAAATGTAACGCTTTATAATACGAGTACTATATGCATCAAGTATAAACTGTTGTATCTGGGTTAATCGGAATGATGATCGAAAGTTGAGTACTGGTAGAGTTGACACTTTTTGGTTATCTACAAATTGATTAGTGTCATTAACCCTCAGAGAATGCGTGTAGTTCATTGCCTACTTATATGTACTGAGTTGCTCAAAAAATTCATATTACTTTTTACCCCTACTACAGTAATACATTTTTGCTTCTCTTCTATATGAAATCGTAGTCATATTCTTTTTTTCATATCTTTCTATTTAATTTTTCTTTTGTAGCGATGAAACAGAATTTGCTAGTTCATTTGATCTTGGTTGTCCAAAATTTATTTCTCCAGAAACACCATATTATGCTAGAGAGCCTACAACATTATCTCAAATTGATTCATTTATCTCTCTAGATCCACAACGTCAACAAATTGATTTATTTAAAACAGAAATTTCTCAACAAATTCAATTGTTACGTCTTCGTTCATTTCTTAAACTTTACACTAATATACCTGCATCTAAACTAGCCAGTTTTATGAATATGGTAAGTGTTTTTATTATACACTAGTATATTCTTATTATACTTTCTTAATGATAACTATCTACTTAGAATTCTTTAAGAAAAGATTTTATACAAATGAATACCATTATATAATCCATTATATAGACAGTTAGATTTTCAATAGTGTAACAAAAGTTAAATTATGTTGTCTAGGCTAAATTCTTTCGATATTTTTGGTGTAGATCAGATATTCCTGATTTCAATCAACAGCTTTGATATTAACGATGAATAGTGGCTAGCAATGAAATTCAAGATACCTATTTCATCTCATTTAGGATTCATCAACTTGATGTACCTGCCTCCCACTAACAGTTGAATATGAGACCGATTACTTCAGACTCCAGATTGTTATCTATCAGGCCACCGATTCGCGATAGCCACTTCTTGTGCAATGCGTATAGTTTATATGATGTTGCTTGTTGATTGCGGTGAATTGATCGACTGGTACTGATATATTGGTTTCTGCATGGACGCGTCGCTTACTGACGCCCGATAATAGCTGTATTTGTCGATCTGAAGGCGGCATTTGACTCCGTCGATCGAGAAGTCTCATGACAATGTCTCTCACTGATAGGAGTGCCGAGTAAGTACATCACCTTATTGAAGGCAAAGCTCTCTATTCGAACACTTGTGGGCGTGTTGGAGCCTACGGTGAGATGTCCAGCGAGCTATGCTCATCGAGTAGTGTCCGTCAAGGCTGCCCACTGTCTCCATTCTTATTCAGTTTTATCATAGATATTCTTGTGGAGGTCTCCCTCTCGTCACCTGATTACACAAACATTGGCCTAATCACAGAAGAATTTTCATTAGACCTAGAATATGCAGATGACATTGTCCAGTTAAGCGTTAAGTGAAGACGTTGACATTTTGATTGTCAATTTCAGAATGTTTGGGATGCGTTTCTCACCACCCAAATGCAAATTGTTGCTTCACGATTGGTCTTCAACGGTGCCCCACCGCGGCTAACAATAGAGAGTGTAGTGATTGAGTGTGTCGACCACTTCACTAACCTGGGAACTAGGATCAGCCCTGGTGGCTAGCTCAGTGGCCAATAAAACCTCTTCACGGACACCAAAGGCTCGATTGGCTTTTGCCAATTTATGCCACCTATGGCGCTGCCGTGATATCCGATTGTCTATTAAGTGTCGCGTGTACTGCACAGCAGTCAGGTCTGTTCTACTGTATGTCTGTGAAACGTGGCCATTGAAGGTGGAAGACCCGAGAAAGCTTCAATTGTTTGACTACGGCTGCCTTCGTAGCATAGGCCGTATTCCGTGGTATCACCACGTGAATAACGCAAAAGTCAGGCTCAAGCGTAGAGTTTTAGGGAGAAGAGGTAAGACAGTCGATGTGATTGTTAACCTTCATCGACTGAGATGGTTGAGACATGTGTTATGTATGCCTAGTCACCAATTGCCTCGTCACACAATGTTGGCCGAAGTAGGTTCAGGTTGGAGAAAGGCCCGGTGTGACCAGATTAAAACATGGCATCAATGCATGAAGTTTTTAACTGTTGGTTTGAGCCGTGTGGGGTGATGCAGACTAGGTGGTTGGGGTCCACGGAACAAGAGAAACCACTAGTGGTTGGAGACTTTAGGTGATATGGCTGAGAAGCAATGTCAGTGGCGCATATGCATACATACATTATCCTCATCTTAACGACGGTATACTGAATCTCACCATTTTCTCATTCTTCGTTTCTCTCTTTTCGTACTTTAAATTTCTTTTGACTGAATTTTCTTATCTTCATCTTGCACTTCACTGCCTTGTTTACTTGATGTACTGATATGAGGTGTGGCAAGGTGGGCCGTTATGTAGTAATGCCTGGTCCTATGTTGATATTGATGATGATGGTGATGGACGGGTCGATTTTGTCTGTATTTTCAATTTTGATATTGATAATCAATAGTTTCAGTTGGAACAACATCCATTCACTGGTAGATAGGTACATATCAAGCTGATGAGCCGTAGATAGGACGAAACGTGCCTCCTAAATTCCACTGCTACCCATTATCTTTTTCATTCATTATGTTATTGTTTTCATTGGTATTGAAGTAAGTGTCTATGAAAAATACTTTACTGGAAATGTATAAATAGTAGTTAGTTTTCTAAATGGTGGTGGGTTTTTATTCCTGATCCCATGTACTGGGATATTTACTTCATAGACGGAAAACAAGAAGAAAATAGAATAAAAATCTTCACAGGGAAGGCATCGGTTTTAATTTGCAATAGATGAGATCGTAAAAAAAAGACGTCAGTGTAAGAAAGTAAAGAAACTGGTCATTTTAAACGACAGAAAAACTTTTGAAAAATATTCCTATTGCAACTGAGTTTATTTGTTGATTGGACTATGTGTAATGGCCCATGATTTGGCAAATTGGTATTGATGATACTATGTGGTGATTGAAGATGAATCGATATAGTCACCAGTAGAGGGTCATAACCCAGCTAGTAGAGTCCCTAGACGGTTAACCCATAGAGCGCTGGTTAAAACTTTGTCATGACTTAAGTTTTTCTCATTTCATCTTCAGATATCACTCATTAACTTCATTAGTGTTTTATTCTTCATACAGTGAGTGCTTTTAGTATAAAATTTGATGTATGATTCTCACTGGTTTCATCCTTTTCCTCGCCGGCCTCTATTTTAAAAGCGCATTTTAAGCATCGCCTGTTACTATGACCTGTAACTATAAAGTAGGTATGGAATTCTTTGCATAGATTCACTTTGATTTCTTGGACACATTTAGCATATACTATCTAAGCATTATGTATTGACCCATAAAAATGCTTGGGAGAATTAGACAAATGGTAATTTTACGACATGTATTCAGGTAACTGATGGTCACATTTAGTTATCATCTGTCCACATATAATATCCGATGCGGGTTCGAACACCGCCTCACCTACCAAAGTTTTGGTAGTCAGGTAGTATAATGCTGAATGGACAAAGTCAACGTAGAATCTCGTACACGGTACCACACTTCATAGTAGTACACAAAGAACCAGTGGATAGAAAAGGATTGAATAAACGATTTGGAGACGATGGGTAGTACAAATATTCAGACTTTAGAAGATCTCAAGGAGTGAATCCATCTGTGACCAATTTCTAGCCATATCACCAACAATTCTCAACCAGACAGTCTACATCTTTCCACACAACTCAGACCACCAGTAAAAGACTTCATCGATTGGTGCCAGTTCTAGCTACCCTGAACACTTTTCCAGCCTAATCTAGCTTCTCCTAGCATAGTACGTCAAGATAGGCGATGGCTTGGCATGCTCAGTACATATCCAAGCGATCTTAGTTGCTGAAGGTTCACAACTTCATCAATCAACTTGTCTGTCTTACTTAAATACCCTTCACCTGACTTCGTTCAACATTGCTCACACAATGATTCAACCAAACGGACAGGTTTTATCATTAATTCTAATACAATAGGGTATGGCTTATTCTCTACTCCACCAAAGTGTACAAGGTTGCTGAGTGGATTTCTGTTCAATGCATACTGTATGAAACTGTACTCAATTTAAATCCAAAATTAGATCAGCGCTTCTTTCTCTTATATAAAATTTTAAGAAGGTTCAGCTTATATTTTATTATTTGTTGCCTTTACATCTCTGTCTATTTTAAATTACGCTCTCCATTTAATGATTAAGTAAATAGTAAATATATTTATCATCTTTTTAAGTCTGAACCAGAATTACATATGGCTTTAATGGCTTATAAATATCGATTAAAACAAGCTATGCTACAAAATGATGATACTATAGAGGAAGGCAATTTCTCAACCTCAGATATGAATAATTCTCAACAAATGCATCCTCATTTAGATTTCTATGTTGATTGGAATGTAATTTTTGTGGCTGATACAACTGTGGATAGAAGATTTTCTGAATTCTTTATTCGTCAAATTGAAATGTTACAAAAAGTGAGTTATTCATTTTTTTTCTTTTTTAATATTTACTCTTCAGTGATGAACTTCATTCAATTTTACATTGATAAAAATAACCAATATGATATTCTAGGATATAATTTTGTAATTATCACAGAAGAGGCGAAGGAAGACGGGACTTCAAGTGATGAAGATATCCAACCAACACCACCACCAACAACAACAAGCTCTAATTACTATCAACGGCAGAAACTTGAAGGAAGTAGCCTGTTTCACCTACCTTCCAAGATAGGACCTTTTCAACTACAGATGGTGGCACAAACGAGGACGTCAAAACCAGGATCGGAAAGACAGTAAAACAGGCGTTTATTAACCTGAAACCAGTGTGGTGATCTACTGCACTCCACTCAGCATAAAGCGTGGACAACATCCGGATTTTCAACACCAATGTCAGTCAAATCAGTGCTTCTATATGGTTCAGAAACTTGGTACGTTACGAAAGGTATTTCCAACAAACTACAGACACGCATCATCAACAACTGCCTACGCTAGCTCGTTACTGAAGATCAGATGGTCAGAATAATAAGAATAAGCAACAAGGAACTCTGGCTTTCTGGCAACGAACCAACGAAGCAAGAAACTATCGCTGAATAAATATGCAGTGGAAGGAAATGGAGATGGATTGGGCATACACTGAGAAGACCATTCGGGGACATCACGCACCAGGCCCTGGAGTGGAACCCAAATGGGAAACGACGAGTCGGGCGTCTGAGATGAGTATGACATAGAGGAGATCATTTGAGGAAGAAATAAAAGCTTCTGGGGGGTGGTGGAGCCAGGTTGAAAAGATTGCAGAGAAGAGAGTGAAATGGTGACGTGCTACTGAAGCCGTATGTTCCACTAGGAATGCAAGGGACAAATAATAATAATAATTATCACAACTCCATCAGCTGACAATCTTTGAAATATAGACTAAAAGGATACCACAGTTAAAGAAAGGTGTTTCAACTTGGACATGGGAATTTAGCCCTATATCCTAATTACTGTAGTGTTATGGTCCTCAGTGCTGATTGTATCCTGTTTTTCATCGAGTATAATGTACGATAACTAAAATGAACATATTATTTCATTGTAGAGGTCAATAGTGTAAGTAGCATAGTTTAGCTATTCCCAAAGCCTCCTGCCTCCTGGTTTGAATCCTGCTGTGATACAGGTTTTCATTCCAGCTTCGGTTATCATCCGTTGTACATTGCTACTCCGTCGATCGAGAAAGTTTATGGCAGTGTTTCTCATTGAAATGAGTACCGAGTAAGTACATCACCCTATTAAAGGCTCTTTACTCGAACACCTGTAGGTATGTTATAGCCTATGGTGAGATATCTGTGGTGAGTTGTGTACGTTGAGTGGTGTTCATCAAGGATGCTCACTCTCTCCATTCTGATTCAGTTTTATCATGAACTTTCTTATGGAGGTCTCCCTCTTGTCACCTGACTATACAGGGATCCACCGAATCACATGAGAATTTTTGGTAGACCTATAATACGCAGATGACAAAGTCCCGTGAAGTGAAGATGGTGACAAGATACAGAGTCTTCTGGACGCTTTGAGTGACAATTTGGGAATGTTTGGGATGCGTTTCTCGCCATCCAAACGCAAATTGTTGCTCCAGGATTGGTCTTCAACAGTACCTTGACTAACAATAAAGAGTGAAGTGGTTGAGTGCGTTGAATAATTAACTTACTTAGGAAGTCGGGTTAGCCCTGGTGCGTTGGTGGCCAACGAAATCTCTGCACGGATACAAAAGGTTCTGCTGGCTTTTGCTAACTTACACCCTTTGTGATACCGCCGTGATATCCTATTGTCTATTAAGGGTCTAGTGTATTACACAGCAGTCTGCTCTGTTCTACTGCATGGCTGTGAAACATGCCCATTAAAGGTAGAAGACATGAGAATGTTTCAGAAGTTTGGCCACCGTTGCCTTCGTAGCATAGGCCGTGCTTCATAGTGCCACCACGTGTGTAACGCAGAAGTTAGACGTAGGGTTTTAGAGAGGTTGTGAACCCTCATCAACGGAGATGGCTGGGACATGTGTTACGCATGGCTAACCACCGTCTGCTTCGTCACACAATGTTGGCCAAAGTACATTAAGGCTGGAAAAAGGCTCGGGGTGGCCAGACCAAAATATAGCATCATTTGAGATATGTAGGGCGATGCGAACTAGCCGATTAGGGTCGGAGGGACAAGAGAAACCACTAGTGGTGATATGGTGATGTGGTTCAGAACCGATGTCAGTGGTGCAGATGTATACACACATTATCTTCATCTTAACCGCTATCCTTAACCTCATCATTTTCTCATTCATCCTTCATCTGTTTTACTACTTTCTACTCATTTTAACCGGTTCTTATTTCTCTCTTCATCTTCCATTTTTAATTGCCCTGTTACTTGGTGTGCTGATATGAGATGTAAGGACTTGGACGGTTACACAACAGTACCTGGTTTTATGTTGATCTTTACGATGTACATTGGCACATATGGATAAATGTATGTTGGACGGCGTTACGATGCAGTTATCAGAACGAATGATAATACTTAACAATTGATAGTTGAGGGTTGAAACACTTCAACTTGAGTGATTCGCGAGAGAATTCAGAAGACCGCTAGTCGACTGAGCTTACAGTATCTCGGACAGATAACGTTTATCAGTGAAAATAGACCCTATTTATAGAGTTTACAGTAACCTTGAAAGATAAGAAATAATTAGTACATTTAAAGAGGCAGGAGCCAATCAGAAGAATAGCGCGTTATGTGAAATGTGACTTATGCGCGGGTAAATGAGCGCGAAGAAAATCATTTCAAATACATAAAAATTGTAAGTAAAGAAAATAAAGGATATGGACATACCTAACAAACGGTACGTAAAAAATGTTTGCAGTGAAAAGCAAATAAAGTTTTTAGAATAAGAATTGAAAAAAGCCAATCAGTGAGATGTATATAACGTGCAGATTTGATAATTTAGCGTCCACTACGTATGTTATATGGAGGAACCTGAATATGAGATGGAATCGGTGGTGATGCATTGTCAAAGCAAGCTGCCACGTGAAATGGTGGTGCTGGGTAAATTTCAGCTTCACTGTTTACGAAGGCTGATCTGAGACTACCTAGAGCTACTTTTTTCCAGTTTTTATTTATGCTGGTATATATGTCGATGCAGATGATTACGGGAATAGGTCCCTTATATGATGGTTGCAAGCCGTCAAGTCGAATGAAAGCAAACTTGTGTAACATTAGGTTTTCGTTCTGCTTTCGTTGACATGTGTTTACACGGGTTGGTGTAGATTGCAACTACGATATCCCTTTTGTGAGTTGACAAATACAGAGATATGTATCATATTAGTGTTCTGCGGGATTGACAAACTGTCTCAGTAAAACTAACTGTGTGCCGTTTACAACTTCAGGTGCGTACATCCTAAGTCCTTTTGTCTGGTGTGGCGGATATCGAGCAAAACAATGGGAAGGAACTTATTTCACTTAGTACCGTCATTTTATGACATCAGCGAACTTTTCAGTTGTCTACAAAATCTTTCCACCAGACCATTCGCTCCGGAATGGCATGTTGTTTCGCGGATATGATGTATGCTAACGGAAAGATTGAACTTTTGGAATATCGTCGTCTGGAACTATGGTCGTTTATCTCAATTGATCGCTGTAGGGACACTAGAATTCAAAATATAGCAGTTAAGGAGAACTGTAGCAGTGTTCGTAGTGGCAATGTCATTCATAGGGCAGGTAATCATCTATCTAGTCGATTGCAGTGGGTATGCAGGTAAACTCTTTCGATATCGGAAATGGTTCATCTACGTCCAGCAGCTCAAATCGTGATTTTATGTCAACACACTTTAGAACGTTGACAGTTCAGGTGATCACGTACCCTTCTTCTGATATCAGAGTTTATTCGTGACCATACAAAGTATTCACTAATCAATTTGACAGTGGCCCACACACCTGGTTAAGATACGAAATTTAAGTGTTAAAATAAATCTTTCCGACATGCTAGTAGGTGGAAAGGGCTATATACTCTGATAGATAGATAGATACACTATAGAGAATAGCGGCTTTAGATAAAGGTATTGGAACTCATATCAGTCCATAATGAATACCAACCTGAAACTAATAAATCCCCACAAACCTCTAAACGTTTACAAGCTCGACACACTCGGTGTGTTGTGTCAAAAGGTTCACATCACTTTTCATAGCACATAGACAAAATAGCGAAGATTAGATAAATTGTCTCAATCAATCATTTGTAATCACACTTCATTGAGTCTGTTATTTCTTTTCAAAAGCTTTCCATATTGTCTTTAATCCTTTCTAGATAAATGAGAATTTGGATATACTGGAACGACGCGGTCATGAGACTTGTGTTCAAGAGTCAAACGATGCGCCTCAGCTAAGATGCTGAATATATGTTTTGTGTGCTATATGGTTTCCTAATAAATTTTATGGACTAGGAAAATGCACTTTTCTTGTTTGTCTTTTTGCATATCTGAACTTGTTAATGTTATATGTTATGTCTCATTATATGATCAAAGGATGTGTATACTGCTCTGTAGTCCATTCTGTCCTGTTGTTATGGCTATGAGATATGACTGTTGAAAGTAGAAGATATGGAGAGATTACAAGTGTCTTTGTAACATTGTTTGTGTTTAATGGAATCATCATGTGAACAGTGTCAAGGTTAGGCGAAGGGTACTAAGTAAGCAAGGAAGTTCATTCGATGAAGTTGTGAACACTCACCGATTGAGGTGGTTTCCTCATATCCAACCACCGCTTACGTCGACTTTTAATACTAAAAGAAGTTGGATTATGTGAAAAGAGAGCTCAGGATGACCATACGAAGATAAGTCTCGGATTGTTGTTATGAGCCAATGTGAGTAGGTAGATATAAACTGCTTGGTTGGGCACCTCGATATAATAGTAGTCTATCGTTGAAGATTCTTGGTGAAAAGGCTGGGAATCGGTTACAGTGGCGCAGATATACTCACTCTTGTAACTCTTCTAAAGTTTGAACATTTTCATCAACCATTAATTGATATACTTGTAATTCTCCGTTGCTTTATTGGATCGAATTGTTCGACATCTATTGACATATGGGCCTCTATGCGGATGCCTCGATAATTCCTGAATGTCAATTATGATAATTTTGCTTGGTTGTAGGTAGCAGAAGAATCCAGGACGCTTTTTTCGTCCTGTTCAGGGCTCGTCAGCTGGATATACCTGCACCCTAGTGCGGAGTGTTGTTGCCACTGATACTCGAACCCCGTACCCATCACTTCAAACGCCAAGGCGTTAACCACGGAGGTACGATAGCCACTTGTACAACGGTTATTAGTTATTACTATATATTGACATACTTGTAATTCTCTGTTGTTTTATTGGATCGAATTGTTCAACCTCTATTGGCATATCCGCTCGTATGCGAATGCTTCGATATTGCCTGAATGTTTATTATGGTAATTTGTTTGGTTGTAGCTAGCAGAAGAGTCTAGGACGTGCGTTTCGTCCTGTCCGAGACTCGTCAGCTGGATGTACCTTGATATTTAGACTCCTCCTGGCTTAAAACATCCAGTAAATAATACTGTATCACTGTGTACCGGCTATACCAAATAAACAATCTGATATAGAATTATACTTCATCATAATGACGAAGTTTTATTCTTATATGAATGAAAACCACAGTAGAGTCAGCTTATTACTATTCAGCCTTTTAGATGATCGGATCCAAAACCCAGTTACTAAATCTGAATTAAATGATGAACATTGGCAATTCTGTAGGGAGACACCTTGAGCGAAAATCTCAGCATGTTTAGGAAGCGTTTCGTGCCTGTCAAATTACGGAAGATGCTTCTGAACTAGTCTGTTGCAAGTACTTTGTACAGGTATTTTCGCTCGATTTTCTGTAGTGCTTCAATGCTCCAATGTTTTAGCTATTAAGAATAATGTTTGTATACAACATTTCTTATGGACTGTAGGGTGATTGCTGTTGTAGTTCAACATTTGGTGTGTGTGTGTATGTGTATGGTTTTCCTGTACACTTAAGTTTTTAAAGTCCCATTTTGTTGATGAGGTTATCTAAGGATGAAATTTTTCGTTGGATACCTCCTCCTTCGTGAAGTGAATTCCTTCAAATGTTTAGTTGATTAATTTGAACGTGTTTTCTGTTTCATCTTTCTTGAGAATTACGAATACATATTCTCAGTGATTTAACGACTAATTTGCAAATTTCATTGGTTTATTCTACCATATGAGTCTATAACTTCATTTAACCAGATAGTTTGAAAATGTTTAAAATAAATCTACCTTGTTCGAAGGTAAACACTCGTCTGTTTAGCATAAATTAAAGTAATACAGTAAGGATAAATAGTTAGAAGTATTTTGATGAAATATCATATACTTTATATGAGGTTATTGTGTTCTGGAGTTACAGAATTCACCCACTGATAGAGAACGTGAGCTGGGTTTAGACCGTTTTGAGACAGATTAGTTTTATCCTACTAATAAGTACATTTATCAGTGAAGTACAATCTGGCTGGCCGTTGCTATGGTAATCCTGTTTAGTACGAAAGGAACCACAGGGTTCAGACAATTGGTATATGTGCACCTGGTTGAAAGGCCGATAGTGCGAAGCTACCATCTGAGGGATTAAGTCTGAATGCCGTCCATATTTGCAACGGTACATTTCGTATCCAACATATGGCTGGGCAAGCTTATCACTCTCATTGATATATTTGTCATAAAAGCCTAATTCATTTGTATATCTCACCCTGATAATGCTTACAGATGTTAGCTTATTTACATTAGCCAGTTAGAATTACTTGTGGTTCTCCTTTTCGCGGGCATATTAAATAAAATCACCAAGTGCTTCACTTATGAGAAGTTATGCTTTTTGGAGATATCTATAGGTAATAAAATGAATATTTCATAATGTTTTTATTCAAAGCCATATAGAAATGCGTGGAAGTGATTTTGATAAGCATCTGAAGTTATTTGGTAATCATTAAACTTTATGTGATAATTTTCTTTGAGGATGATTTTATTACGTTGCATCACAGCTTGGTGTCGGCTGACTGTCAACATGCTTTTTAGACTGCCTCCTTACACACTGGCTGATGAAGTCAACGTAGAACCATGCACATAGGATGGTACGGATATACACGCTTTAAAAGATGTCAAGGAATGAATATACCTGCGTTATTGTGACCGATTTTCAGCCAGTGGTAAGAGAATACATCAAGGGGTGTCTGGTCTTGGTCTGACAACCCTGAACACTCGTCCAGCCTAATCCAGCTTCCCTCAGCATGGCAGGTCGAGGTAGGTGGTGGCTTGGTATGCGCAGTGTATGTTCAGGCCATCTCAGTCGGTTAACGTCCACAACCTCATTAACTATCTTGCCTAGTACCTTTCGACTGAACTCAACATTGTTCACATGGTGGTTCCACCGTACACGAGCAATGCTACGAAGAAATCTGTGATCAAAATCCTGTAATCGCCTCATATCTTCTACTTCCAACGGCCATGTCTCAGACATATAACAAGACAGAACGAACTGCAGTGTAGTATACTTGTCCTTTCATAGATAGTCGGGTATCTCGCCAGTTGACGCTACATGTGACGCAAATTAGCGAATATCAAAGTAGCCTTCCGTATCCGAGCTGAGATTTCGTCAGCAACCACCCCCTTCGAGCTGATGCAACTCGCTAAGTAAGTGAAGTGGTCGACACATCCCATCATTTCACTAACTATCCTTAAACTAGGAGTACTTGCAACAGACTAGTTCAGAAGCATCTTCCGTTATTTGACAGGCACGAAACGCTCCCTAAACATGCTGAGATTTTTACTCAAGGGGTCTCCCTACAGAATTGCCAATGTTCATCATTTAATTCAGATTTAGTAACTGGGTTTTGGATTCAATCATCTAAAAGGTTGGATAGTAAACAAGCTGGCTTTACTATGGTTTTCATTCATATAAGAATAAAACTTCGTCATTATGATGAAGTATAATTCTATATCAGATTGTTTATTTGGTATAGCCGGTACACAGTGATACAGTATTATTTACTGGAAGTCGTTTAGAATACAATTTATGGCTCATGAATCACATCTAAGTAATCACACAACTTGAATACCCTCAACAATTATTCATTCTTTTATTTTAATGATAGACTTTCTAGTCATCTGCAATATGTGATGAACCACTCGCGTTGAATGTGCTAGATGTTGGTTCAGTGAACAAAAATTCTTCGACCAATTTCTCTTTCCAGCTAGCTACTTTGGATTTTAAAACTTTCACCCTTTAGTATGATCATGAACCAGTACATCCAGAGGGATAACCAAGTTATTTTGTGATTTGCTTATCCTAATGGGTTCGTCACTTTAAATTTCTCTAACACTTTCTGCTGAACTATCCTGACTGACCTTGACCGGGTTCTTTGGAATGTATACTTGACCTCACGATCACCACATCATATTCCAATTTTATTTTTCATTTTCCCGTAGGTTCCTATTGGAACATATGGCTTCAGTAGCACGTCGCCATTTCACTCTCTTCTCTACCGTCTTTTGAAGTTGCCTGCACTATTGCCCACAAGCTTTCACCTCTTCTTCACATTATCTCCTCCATGTCACCCTCAGACACCCAACTCTTCGCTTCCCCTTTTGGGTTCCACTTGAGGTCTTCACATATGATATCCCTAAAAATGGTCCTCTCAGTGTATGCCCAATCCAATTGATCTCCACTCTCTTCTGGTTATTTTTTGGGCGATAGTTCCTCGGTTGGTTGGTTGGTTGATTGCCAGCCAGCCAGCCAGAGTTCCTTGTTGATTATTTTTTATTATTCTGGCGATCTGATCTCCATCTTCAGTACCGAGTGAGCGATGTTGGCAGCTGTTGATGGTGTATGTGTGCAGACTGTTGGAGATGCTATTGGCAACGTGCCAAGTCTGTGAACCATCATATAGAAGTACTGACTTACTCGACAGACATTAGTGTTGAAAATCTAGTTGTTTTTTGTTCTGAGTGCAGTAGATCTGCACATTGATTATGTGAGGTTAATGAAAGTCTGTCTTGCTGTTTTTCCGATGGTGGCTTTCACATCCTGATTTGTGCCGCCACCTGTAATTGAGACGATACTGCTTAGGTGGTAGGTGAAAGAGAGACGACTTCCTTTAGGTTTCGCCTGTTGATGTTGATTGGAGCCTCTTGTTGTTGTTGTTGTTGTTGTTGTTGTTGGGTATCTTCATCACCTCCGTCTTTATATTGACTTGAAGTCCCGTTTTCGCTGTCTCTACTGTCAACTTGTTGGTTTTCGCGTGTAGATCTTCGAGTTTGTGAAACAAGACATTAGACATAAATCATCATCGGCGGCGAAAACCAAATGTTCTAGGTTTTTTTCATCGTTGCAACCAGCGTATGCCTCTCTTCTCACTCCTCACGGTCCATTGCATGATCCAGTTGAGTCCAGTCGACCACAATCAGGAAGATGATCGTTGATAGTAGGCAACAGCCTTGTCTCACTCCTTTCCCCTATCTTCACTTTCAAGGCATCACCGAGCTTCCCATTTTGAATCACTTGTCATGTAGTATCATATCATCATATAGCGGTTGAATGAGGTTGATAAGGGTTTGTGGCTGTAAAAGCGTAGTGTTGAAGTAGTTACCAAATTACTTCTCGTTCGAGTCTATCGAAGGTGTGTGTGTTCAAAGTTGATGAAGTTGAGTTGTAGAGTTGACTTGCATTGTGTGCTGTTTTCTATGATGATACGTAGCGTAGCGTTGCAATTTGATCATGGTATTCTATAGATTGGATTATTTCCGATCCACTGGAGCTTGCAGCCTACAAAGTTCCTGTCTGAGTGAGTTTGTGGGTTTAAATTCCATCCTCATTCCGGAACTGTTAGGAATTCTACATAGACGTTTTGACATCCCTTCTTTATATTCGTTTCCCTCCTTTGGGTCCTTATAACTTTAAAATGAACTCCGATGGGTAGGTAACAATCTCTTTTCAGCGGGTTTCAGTTTCTTATTTAGGTTTTCTGACATATTAATCAAATACCTAACTCGATTCCTTAAATATCTTACAAAGTCTACGTTGATAGATATGGGCTGAGTGTATGTGAGATCGAGGTACCTGTTGGTTTCCTATAAACACTGATATGTAAATTGTCACATCCTCTTCTGTTGTTTCTGTGATCTAACATAGGTAATTTTTCTTCTACATTTTCTAATTCATAAATGAATTGGATTGTGTCTCCTATCGAGTTAGTATGTGTGAGAGAGAAAAACTGTAGATAGTTTCTAATTTCAACACAGTAAATGTGTAATCCACATATAGCCACCATACTTTTGAGGTGGGTTAGAATGTTGCTAATTATCCATAGAGATATATCTACGATCCAGAATACTGACAATCCCATCGCTGCTCCTGTTCGCTTATATATTTCATCTTGAATTTTGAAGTCTGTCGAAGTCATACATAGAGATGTATCCCTCTTAGTGAGACTACGCTCAGTGGTGGTTTCTTTTTAACTGAATTCAGTCAGCTTTACTTTAAAACTGGTGTCAAGGTTGGAAACGGCACATTTTTTTCTTCATTGTACCACGGGTTCGAACATCGCTTCACCTACTGAGGTTTGGGCAACCAGGTAGTATCACTATGCCTTACATGCTAGATTTGGTCTATTGTCTACCGCACGAGTGTGCACAAGGTACCTGAGTGGATTTCGATTTTCATGTGAATAAATATACGGATCTCGTAGCTCAGTTAGTAGAGTAGTGGGCCGGAAACCGGCTGGTTCGAATCTGGCTGCGGTCTAAATTTTCAATTCACCTTCAATCATCACCCAGTATAAGTATATGAATTCATAACCAGTGGGCAACCAATACATTTGTCTAGATGAAAGTCTGCTGATCAAGTTGTGCTATTTGCTCACTAGACATAATGATACGACACTGTGTTACTATGAGATATAATTTAATCGAAATTATTGTCGTAATGATGCTTTTAATTTCCTGTTGCTAAACAGCGCCGAATTACTCGACCCGGCTATCGTGCCCCAGTGGCTTAATGGATATCACTCTGGCGTTTGAGGCGACGGGTTCTGGGTTTGAGCCTCAGTGGGAGCAAAACTACTCACCGGGGTACCTATATGACCAGCTGATGAGTCCCAAATTGGACGACACGCGCGTCTTGGATTCCTCTGTCACCAAGATCAAAATTATTGTCAATATCCAATGCATCGAACGTAGTATATAATTGTGGTTTGTATAAAACTTCCAAGGCGAAGTTATCTAAAAAATGTAAGCACTTGCTCTAAGCCATAAAAGAAGAGATTATATGAATCTTAAAGGCCTACTTAGGATAAGACAACTACACTAGTAACTAATTCGTGCACATAAGCCAATCCTACAGGGGATCAGTCATGATCTGGATAACTTATTAGTTAAGTATGTAAGTTTAGCATTGACTGTCACAGATTTGTTTCACAGAGAGAACACCAGTTTTCTCGTAGTCGCTGATACGCCTTGCTAATTATTATTATTACTTGTCCTTTGGGTTCCTAGTGAAACATAGGGCTTCAGTAGCATGTGTCCATTGCTTTATGTTCTCTACAGTCTTTTGAACCTCGCTCCACGACTTCTCAGAAACTTTCATTTCTTCCTAATATGACCTCTTCTATGTCATCCTCGGACGCCCAACTCGTCGTTTCCCCTTTGGATTCCGCCTAGCGCGTAATGTCTCCGAATGGTTTTCTCAGTGTATGCCCAATCCATCTCCACTTTCTTCTGCATATTTGTTGAGCGATATGTCCTTGGATGGTTCGTTTCCGGAGTTCTTTGTTGCTTATTACGCCTTGCCAATGATTACCAACAATCATAAAACTTATTTTCAGAATGTCCTACTGATTGACTCCCACAGTCTAGCATAAAAATAGTAGTAAATATAAATTACATAAAATGTTTGAAATTCACCTTCTTGTGTAACCTGGATACATCGGTTTAATTACAGTGCGAGGTGAGATGAGTCGGAGGTACAGGTTACATTTACGGGATAACCCAGGTCAGACACTGGATAGCGTCCCAGCTGAGAAGGTACGGTTAGATATCCGAGACTTTAGAGTCTTCTCCGTTAGTAGAAGTGCATGTCTTGGTTTTCACACCGTTTTCTTGCATATGCGACTTATCAGAAGCCTTCCGTATGGCCGGTGACGTTTGACCCACTTGTAAAACTAGGGAAGATCTAAAAAGCCAAAGTAGCTGGATATACGATGACATTTTATCATACAAATGTAAACAATATGAACATTGATTTGATGCATCGAAAAGAATTCCCTATGAAATTCAAGCATAGAGGTCAGTCAGTTGATGTGGTTATTAAACTTCATCAACTCAGGCAGTTGGAACATCTATGCATGATCACCCGCCGGACTGGAAGAGGGTTTGTGGTGGTCAGACTGAAACTAGACAGCAGTCCTTGAGTTCTTTGACTGATAATCTGAGTGCTGTAAAAGAATGTAGACTTCCTGGTCCCTTTCTGCATGACATCAGAAGTCAATGTTTTGAGACTGTAAATTATCCGTTTAAAGATCGATGTCAGCGGGCGCAGATGTATCTACACATTATTCTATTCGTCATGTCGAATTTCTTTATTATTCTATCCATTTTTCCTTCTATCTTATGACTTTATATTCATTAAGAAGTTATTTTTCCCCCCTTATTACCCTATCTTTCACCTTGTTGCCTTTTACTTTGATGTGACGTGTAGCAACTTAGATGGTTACCCAGTACTTCCAGGTACTGTACTGATGTTGACTGAATTGAACTCTTAGCACTACAATATAGTGGTTCAATTTGTCCCAATACTCAAAACCATATGAAATTGTCTATTATCTTACAATCAGATTAATACTTGAAATGGTTTTCTAGGTAACACACTTTGATAAAAGTGATGGTTTTACCTGTGGAAAAAGTTTACAGTTTCTATTTATCTAATCTAGGATTCATTTTACCGATAATTTCATTAAAATGAAAAGTTATTCCAGGATCAGTGATATAGTCAGTCAAAGCTTTTTGTAGTGATCATCTTCAGTGAATAACCGTCTCTTACTACTTCATATCCTAATCTGATAAGGTATCAGTTGTAGAACTTAGTAGTAGGTTTTCTATCTTTACGCTAAAATCTTACTAGCCAACCCTGAAAGCTGTGTTATTGATGTACTCAATAATTCAATCCAACTGGGGTTCATTTTCATCATGGTAAACTATTGTCGAAGATGAATTCCTTTTTTGAGTAAGTAGAATCTAATCAATTTTTCTTATTGAACTTTGAAGATATTGCTCATCTTGTTGGCATCTTCATTGGCAAAATTTTATTTCGGTATAATCTTTCAATTGGCGTTGAAAACTAAACATTACTTCTGAAAACTGTGAACATAAGTACAAGTTTTCTTACATTATGATAGCAAAGAACATTGACAAGATGAATGTATTGAAACATACTGGAAGTAAAATATTAGTGGATAGGAAACTGTTACATATGCAGCAATAACATATATAGGTACTGATCCTAGTTGGTTGGAGACAATCGACAGGAAGCTGTGGGCCATCTTGTACTTGTTGACACTCCTTAGCAAGGCGTATCTGCAACCTCGAAGGAACTGATGTTCCCTGTGAGGTTTGAACCTGCGTAACCCAGTGTTACGGTACAAGACATTACCCCTAAGCTATTTGGGCTGCAACTGACCTTCCATAGGACGGGACAGCAACCAGTCTCATGTTGTTTAGTTCTGAGTGCTGACAGAATTCTGTCGATCATTTTGCCACCAAGCTATCCACTATATAATGACAAAACCTTGGTAGATGGAGCACGGTTTGAATTCTTTATACACAGGTTGAACCATAGCTCTTCAGTCTTTTGATATGGTTTTTGAAAGCACTGTCAACGGTGATATATCTCATTTCTGTGTTGTTCTAAGCGTTCATCGTGGGTTTTTTACTGTCAGTAGCTAGCGAATATCCTCTGACTCACTTCTACGGTATTCCTGCATTATCATTATTATTTGTCCCTTGGGTTCCTAGTGGAACTATACGGCTTCAGTAGCACGTCGCCATTTCACTCTCTTCTCTACCGTCTTTTGAAGTTGCCTGCACTATTGCCCAAAAGCTTTCATCTCTTCCTCACATTATCTCCTCCATGTCACCTCAGACACCCAACTCTTCGCTTCCCCTTTGGGTTCCACTTGAGGTCTTCACATATGATATCCCTAAAAATGGTCCTCTCAGTGTATGCCCAATCCAATTGATCTCCACTCTCTTCTGGTTATTTTTTGGGCGATAGTTCCTTGATTGGTTGGTTGGTTGTCAGCCAGTCAGAGTTCCTTGTTGATTATTTTTTATTATTCTGGCGATCTGATCTCCATCTTCAGTACCGAGTGAGCGTAGTTGGCAGCTGTTGATGATGTATGTGTGCAGATTGTTGGAGATGCTATTGGCAACGTGCCAAGTCTGTGAACCATCATATAGAGGTACTGACTTGCTCGACAGACATTAGTGTTGAAAATCTAGTTGTTTTTCATTGTGAGTGCAGTAGATCTGCACATTGATTATGTGAGGTTAATGAAGGTCTGTCTTGCTGTTTTTCCGATGGTGGCTTTCACATCCTGATCTTTGCCGCCACCTGTAATTGAGATGATACTGCTTAGGTGGTAGGTGAAAGAGAGACGACTTCCTTTAGGTTTCTCCTGTTGATGTTGATTGGAGCCTGTTGTTGTTGTTGGGTATCTTCATCACCTCCGTCTTCTCTACACTCACCTGAGTGAAGTCCCGTTTTCACTGCCTCTACTGTCAACTTGTTGATTTTCGCTTGTAGATCTTCGAGTTTGTGAAACAAGACATTAGACATAAATCATCATCATCGGCGTTGAAATCCAAACCTTCTTGTGGGGTCATTCCATCGTTGCAACCAGCGTATGCCTCTCTTCTCGCTCCTCACGGTCCATTGCATGATCCAGTTGAGTCCAGTCGACCACAATCAGGAAGATGATCTGTGGTAGTAGGCGACAGCCTTGTCTTACTCCTTTCCCCTATCTTCACTTTCAAGGCATCACCGAGCTTCCCATTTTGAATCACTTGTCATGTAGTATCATATCATCATATAGCGGTTGAATGAGGTTGATAAGGGTTTGTGGCTGTAAAAGCGTAGTGTTGAAGTAGTTACCAAATTACTTCTCGTTCGAGTCTATCGAAGGTGTGTGTGTTCAAAGTTGATGAAGTTGAGTTGTAGAGTTGACTTGCATTGTGTGCTGTTTTCTATGATGATACGTAGCGTAGCGTTGCAGTTTTATTCGCACATGATTTGTTCTTCCTGAAATCAGTGAATCAGCCTATTTCTGTGGTAAATTTGAATGGAGAGCATTGTCTAGTCTCTTCAGCATGATGCGGCCTAATATTTCGTTTGGGGTGGGCAGTGTCAGGAGCATGATTCCAAGCCAGGTCTTGCAAAGAGTTAGGTCTTCCTTTTTTGAAGTTTGACAAGATAACTTTTCTTCTTCTAATCGGCAGGTTCCTACCCTTCCTTCCTTCTAAAGCTTGTGCAATAATGAGTATTCCTGCATAGTATTTTCTTTAAAAAATCCATTTCATTTAAGTTAGAATTTTATAACACTTTTTCTCTTGTTAAATCTTTCATTATTCAAATTGTTTTCAAAAAAATCTTGTATTTACTTACTATTTGTTTTCAGTCATCCTGCTCCCTATGCTGGAAAATCTTAATCCCACACTGCATGCACCTATTAAACCTCGACTAAATAGACTATCTTTAAATTTCGATAACTTTGAATGGAATGGTCAACGTGAACCTATTAATCAAGCAGAAATATTTGGTAAGTCAATTTTCTCCTCATTGACTACTATTTCCGCCTCTTGATGCACGTAGAGAAGTAATTTTGTTAGTGCCTCAAACCTTTGCTGTATATTGTTGGAGAAGTGCACATGAACAACTGATTACATATTCTATACTAGGTGATGATTGAAGTTGAGATGAAAATTTGAACCGCAGCAGGATTCAAACCAGAAATCACTGGGTTTCCAGCCCGATGCTCTACCAACTGAGTTACGAGGCCCGACTGGTCACTGATTCGAATCCTGCCGCGGTCCATATTTTCATTTCATCTTCAATCATCATCCAGTATCAGTTATACTAGTCTGCCAAACTGCAGCTGCTCTCTCAGATAGTTCAAATGATAATCAATAGGATACTCCGCCTTTCTAATTCAGTTAGATTTGAATCGGGATGAAAAGTCTCGACTAGGCAGCCAGTATGAGTACAATCAAGCGGCAGTAACGCGTCGCGAATTCACATGGTAGTCTGGCAAAACCCATAGTGATTGAAGTGCAATAGAACTCTGATTGACAGTTGAACTTTGTAGCTAAGTTGGTAGAGCATCGGTCCGGAAACCTGGTGGTCGCTGGTCGCTGTGGTCCAGATTTTCATTTCTTCTTCAGTCATCACCTAGTATGAATACACTTTGAATTATGATGAAGCGATTGATTGAAATCGTTGACTTATAGCCCCACGAGTAATGGCTTCGAATTCTAGTCTGTCGAACGAAACTCAGGCAGTGCCATGGCATTGGTGATTGACTTAGAAATGAATTTCCAACTCGATGACTAAACAGCAACATGTTCCTCGTGAGAGCCAGGTTCTGTTCTCTTTAGGATCATGGGTGTTGAACACATTATTATTTATCCCTTGCGTTCCTATTACTTCGTAGTGCATATTGATTCCCTAAGTGAGGAGTAGCATGTCTTGACGGTAATCTAAAGCGTTACAGATTCTATTTAGGGTATTACAAGAAGTAACATAGGAGGCGATTATCAATCATTCTAGCTACACATAATCTGCTTATTAACCGGAAGAAATTAAAAGATACCATGACATCTTCAGCTACGTACTAAATTGACTGTTTAAGTAGTTAGTCAGTCTCAATATTCCTTTTATTACTCTTTGTATTATAGGACTCCACTAACTATATCAACATATTTTTAATTCTCTATCAGCTTTTACTTAAAGATGTAGAATAACTGTACAAATCCGACAAAATAAGCCGTTTTGTATACTCTCATCGATTGTTTCTACTTGACTCATGATGTAATACTTTCTTCTAGTATACCTGTTATATTGATCGTTAAAATCCCGGTAATAGGAAAAGCCAACTTCTGTCAAGGTTGTTTTTTGTTTTATTTCAAATCGGATGAAATATTTTTGTAGCTTAGCTATTCTTTAGAAACTTAACGACTCTTCTCCTGCTTCTTTCATTAGTGTTTTCCAAAACAATGTACAGCTCTTCTTTAATTTTTTTCGTCTGAGACAGTTAGTCGTATTGCTTTTTTTTTAGAAGAAGTTCATATTTCACAGTATATATCAGCATAACCGGATTGATTTCTGACGAAACGCCAGCTAGAATACAGAAAGTCCGTTTAACATATGACAAATTGTATCATCTATGAAGCCGGCGAGGTAGCTAACTTGTTAGTTGGTTGGAGGCAATCAGCAGAAAGCCCTGCTTGACCTAGGTTTCATGCTTTTTGGCACTCGTCAGCAAGGCGTATCTGCAACCTCGACTGAACTGATGTCCTGCCTGAGATTCGAACCCGTGTCACCCAGTGTTGTAGTTAGCTACTTTACCAATGACCTATTAGGGCCGCTAACTAACATCTACTAATGTGCACCGCGATGCTGAGCTTACTAGCTTGGTTGCCACATTGGAAACATGATCGATAGAATTCGGTCTGCATTCAGGACTAGACAACATGAAGTTGGTTGCACTCCTGTGACCAATCAATACAGGTAGCCAACTTCCTGTTACAGGGCAAGTATACTGCTCTGCAGTCCTTTCTCTCCTGCTATATGCCTGAGATGGCCGTTGAAACTGAACGATGTGAAAAAACTACGAGGTTTTGATCACGGATGTGTTCCTAGGACTGCTCACATATGGTAGAATCACCATTTTAGTAATTTCCAGGTCAGGGGAGGGGTACTGTGCAAGATAGGCAAGTTGATCGATGAAATTGTGGATCTTCAGCGACTGAGATGGCCTGGACATGTACCTCACATGCCGAACCATCGCCTACCCCCACGGGCTATGCTACGGCAAGTTGTATCAGGTTGGAAGAGGGTTCATCTTGGCTAGACCAAGATATGGTACCAGTTGATGAAGTCTCTTACTGTTGGTGTGAGTCGTATGGGGGAGATGTAGACTACCTGGTTGGAAATCCCCGAGAAGATTGGAATTATTGGTTGAGGACTGTTGGTGACATGCCTGGAAATCGGTCGCAAAAACTGTTATCTTCAAATTGTTTATTCTCTCACCTTTACAGGTTTATCTACTTTAATATAAATGTTTTCCTACCCACTTGTTTTTTGTTTGCTACTGTGAAATATGACAACTTGAGCCGATGCACCGTTGTACGTGGTTCTACATTGACTTTGCTAGTCAGTCAGTATTGGGGTTAACATGAGCATCTACTCATTTCACAATCAGTAAGTATGATACACAAATAGATTACTCAGCAGGGTTTTCTGAGTCTTTTTTTATGATACATTAATATCAGTCAGTCAGATGTAGAGCTGTAGGGAGGAGAAGAAAGTCACTTGGTGAGGTAGTGAACCTTTATTAACTGAGGTGGTTTGAAGAGATATGTTACGTACACTTTGTCACTGTCTCTCTCATCGCTCAATGGTAACAGAAGTAAGTTTAGGCTAGGAGAAGGTTATAGGCGGCTAGATTAAAATATGGTATCACTGCATGAAGTTGTTGAATGTTGTTCTGAGCCGTTTAAAGAAGTATAGACTTTCCGGTTATGGTAGATGTGACAGCCGAGACCAGTAGTTGAAGAATCTAAGTGACATGTATCAGAATCGGTATCATTGGTGCAGATGTATCCTCATTTTATCCTTATCCTAATTGTCACAGTGAATTCACTATTTTATTATTCATCTCCAATCTTTTTTATTGATTTTGACTGCTTCTTTATTTCTTTGTCTTTCAATCTTAATGTATTCTCGCTTGATGTACACTGATATGAGGTGTGGAAACCTGGACTCTTTTGCTATAATACCTGGTCGTATGTTAATGTTGATGATGATGAAGTCAGACAGTCTTATCACCACTAATATCAGAACGCTGTCAAAGTTGACCATACCGTGGAAAGCTAGGTCTCCTTGAGGTCCCCTGAAGTGCCCAGGGGACATCTACTTCAGTCTGGTCACTTACGGCCTTTCCGATGCCACGAAAATTGGACTGTATTTTGAAAGGTGTAGTCAGACATATGTCTAGTGCTTTTGGATCACTACTAATCACTGATGACTGGTCTAAGCCATCATAATGCATCGTTTCTTTATTTAAGAACATGTTAAGGGTAAGGGTAACTACTTTCTGTCTAACCGCCATAGGAAACGACAAGACGGATGCAAAGGATAGAACGTTTATTATTGACATGTTGTACATTAGTCATCAAATATTGTACACCTCCCACTAAGACAGTCATTTCCTCTTCTGCTTCTAGATTTACTCTTAATATACCAACATTGTCTCTTGCGTTTCTCTGGGAAGAATCTCTACCTATTACTGATAATTCCCCGTGATTTCTGCTGCCTTCTCAACGTAAACTACTGAATTCAGTTCTGTTCAACAACGCCTAGGAGACTTTTATGGTATGGTAAAGACATCTAAGGAACAAGTGTCCTACTAGCATAGCTCGTTGAATCATCGTGATATAGAACCCCGACCACCAAGTCATGGTACCAGCTATCGATCAGGGACGACTAATATAGGATTGAAACTTGAGCACTCTTGTAGACTGTAATTCCATTTTAGTTTATTTATCTGAAGTCTCACACAGAATAACAGTAGTATTTTGATGGATAACCTTTCGGAAATTATTTTTTGAACGTTATTATATGTGAGTGAAATGTGAACTTATGATCTTTGATTGTTACTTATATTTTGCATCGATTTCTTTTCCTTAACCCACTTTCTTAACTGTTATGACTGACTAGATCATATCCGAGATATTCGAGATCCAGAACACCCACATAGTCTTGAAGTATTAGGTGTAGTGAACGATGAATGGATATATGTCGATGACAATGAAGGTTGGGTGTGTGTTGAATATTCTCCTACAATTCCTGGTTGCAGTATGGCTACATTAATTGGGTTAGCTATCAAAGTGAAGTTGATCCGATCACTTCCACGAAGATTTAAGGTGAGTTTACCCCCAGTCAACAAAGAACATGATCCGTTCACGATAAATATGTTTTTGGAATAAGTTGTAACGCTTTTTTTTTATCCGAAAGTTGTTTCAAGGGTAGTTGTCCAAGATAATTTTTAAGTTAAACCCTTATAAAATGTAAAAGGCATCACATAGTTAGGACACTTCTTAGTAGGGTCCTTCCCTTTGAGGTATGGATGCTTGGTAAGTTCAAACTGATCATTGACATCATTTTCAGAGTGTTTATTTGTGTTTGTACGCGCACCATTTAGACTGCTCTGTGATGAAACTGCTACCTCATTTCGCCAAGTAGTTTCAAAAAGTCTTCGAATTCGTTGCATTTAATATTGTAGCATTTCCTTGAAACTAATCAACCTCGAAGATGTACTGAGTTGTTGGACAACAGAAGTATGATTTCATATACATGCCCGCCCCTCTCCCACCATATGAACTTGAATAGAGAAAGGCTAATGATCGAAGCTGAATAAAATGGTACCATTTTATTTCACCGGTTTCTCGCCAGCTGCTTACAACCTAAGAAGTATCATTTTATAGAAGAATTCCAACATAGTTTTTGAGATCGTGGAGAATATTTGCAGCTTGGGAGGATGATTTTGCGTTCTCTGAGCTTGATGGTTTATTTGTGAAGCTTTCATTGTCATTCTAGATGATATAACCAGCACAAAACTCAGAAAGAAGTGAGGTGTGGAATTTCACTACAAGTCGTTTAATAGATTATTCTGATGACCTTGTGTGTGATTGGTTTTTTCCCTAAAATCCTGTCTCTATACTTATTCTGGTTGGTAATCCTGTCAACCAATAAGAAACAATGAAGAAAAAAGTTCACGTTGACAGGATAGCCAATCAAAATGCATATGGAGAAAATGATAAAATTTTAGCAGAGACAACCAATCCCACCCAAGGTCATCAGGACAAGCTATTGAACTACTTGTGGCGAAAACCCCACAGCTCACTTCTTCCTGAAGTTTTTGCTGATAATGTTTTCTGGAATGACAATGAAAGCTTCACAATAAAATCATCCATCTCAAAGAACACGATACCGTCAAAAGCATATTTTTTCGTAGTTAAACGAAGCCAGTTATCAGGGAACGACATAGTTCAACAGAGAACGCAAACATCCTGATTAAGTTGACAGGATCGAGGCATCCTCATAGAAGCCTATCTGCCAACAGAAGTCAAGCAATTCGGCCCTGTATAGCAACAGGGAACTACAAATATGACAACAACTACTGGTACTTGTTGCACACGAGGTGCCTATCGCGCCGCAGTGACCTAGTAGATAACACCTCCGCGTTTGAAGCGGTCGGTACTGGGTTCGAATCTCAGTGGGGACAACATCACTCACTGAGGTGCAGGTACATCCAGCTGACGAGTCCTAAATAGGACAAAACGCACATGTTGGATTCCTTTAATAGTCACCAAAATCACAAGATTAGAGTTGCGCTGCTTTTTTCTTCATGTCCTGTGTTGATGAGATGCTGAATGACTGCGCTATTGAAGGCATTTGTTCCCCTGTGACTTAGGCATTTCAGTATGTGTTCAAAGAAGTATCATCGTGTAATAGTGACAATTTCTCCAGCATTTTGCATGATCATCTTATATTTCCAGAAGAAATAATTATCTTTATTTCCACAATACTGAATTTAACTTCTACTTTAACGATCTAATAATTCTTGCATTCTACCTATTCTTGTCTATTGTTCCCCGTTGATCTTTCCTGGTCTACTAAATAAGGACTATGTTATATTGCATAGGGCATCGAAAGGTATCCGTAGGGTGAGGGCTGTTTCTGTGAGCCAGCTGATAAACACTGTGGTTGAAAAATATCGAAATTCTAGCAAGCAACTAGCTACAGTATTTTTAACTGAAACTGAATATTTATTCACCACATTCACATCTCTCTCCTTGTATCTCCTCTCAGGAAGGATAAGAAGAAATGACATCAGACTGTAGGCTTGTATGGCTTGGTATAAGAATTCGACTCTACCTTGCCTTACCTAGCACATTTACTATGTTAGGAAAAAAGTGTAAGAACAGAATTCAAATATCAACTTAGTAACAGTTAAAAATTTCATTTCAATAATTTAACTAATGATGTAAAAGTTTCCTCGTTATTAACATTCTCAACACTACTTAACTTTTTATAATAACACAATTCGAGATATTGTAAAGGGGTATATACATATACGCATATATTTTGTTATTGTTACAATGTATCATGCTGAGAATTCCAAGTTGTACCAAAAACTGTTTGGTATAAAGTGAATTATTCCATATTACATTTGGTTATTTGATATAAAGCGCACAGTGATACAGTATTATTTAATTGATTACGTTTCGAGCATAAATTATTGCTCATAATCATATCAATGTAATCACACTTCTTTCAATATCTGATTTTATAGTCCTGTCACCTGATCTCTCTTTGTTTTTGATTGGTAGTAAAGTTTTCCATATCTCTGGTATAGGTGTTGCGTCATTCCTATTAACATATGTTGGGTGTGGATTCGATGAACAAAGATTCAGTAATTAATCTCTCTCTCCACCTAGGTATATTAGACTTAAGTACAGTGATTTTGTCCCACCCAGCCTATTGTGTGGTTGTGTGTTAATGAATGTAATGCAATGGCTGAGTGTTTTTCTAGATTATTGATCTTATTGGGATCTGCCGTTCTATGCTTAGCTAAATTCTTATGTTCTGTTAATCTAACTGACCCCGACCGGCTAGTTTCACCTATGTATTTGACCTCACAGTCATTACATGGAATTTGGTAGATTATATTATTTTGCTTAATTGGTTCTATCGGATCCTTATGCCGGCCGACAAAGCTTACCTCTAAGTGAGTTTGTTGGTTTAAATGCCACCCTAATTCCAACCTTGTTGAGAATCAATCCTACGTATGGTTTCTGATGTTCCTTCCTTGTATGGTATCACAATAGAGGTGTTGATTAATTACTGAATCTTTGTTCACCGAATCCACACCCAACACATGTGGAATAGGAATGACGCAACACCTATACCAGAGATATGGAAAACTTTACTACCAATCAAAAAACAAAGAGAGATCAGGTGACGGGACTATAAAATCAGATATTGAAAGAAGTGTGATTACATTGATATGATTATGAGCAGTAATAATTTATGCTCGAAACGTAATCAAGTAAATAATACTGTATCACTGTGCGCTTTATATCAAATAAACAAATGTAATATGGAACTACATTCTACCACAGTTCCCAAGTTTTTCACTTATAATAAAGTGAAATACTATTATTATTATTATTATTATTATTATTATTATTATTATTATTACAAGTTTCACGTTTATTTATACACCAATGAACAGTCAACTCAACTCATAGTGATGTATTTCATTAACTTCAAGGTTCACAGTCTTTCAAGTCACTGTGACTCTTCAAACAATAAGTAAATTTGAGTTTTATCCGACTAAACTTCTTTTTTTTATATGTATCGCACCACTGAGTACCGGCATTTATTGTCTGATGGCGTTTCGAGTAGAAATTATTTGGTTGTAATCATATCAATGTTTAGAGAACTGACTTTCAACCAGTGAGCCACGGGTTCGAACCCCTTTTCATCTACCTAGGTTTAGGCAGACAGGTAGTAAGTATCATTAACCCTCATATAATAAGTATGGCTTATTGTCTGATACACAAATGTGCTCAAGGTAGCTGAGTGCATTTCTACTTCGACATATCAAGGCGGTCACATAAATGTCTAGTTTCATTTTCATAGTCCTATGATCCGTCATTCTTTTATTTAATTGGAGTGGTAAGATTTTCCACACATCTGGAATCGCCGTTCCATCATTCTTATTACATATGTCAAGTTTCGATTGCAGAGAGATTGATAACTGAAAGTTTTTCTATCATACCAACATGTGACATATGTAACAGGAATGATGCAACATATATTCCAGATGTGTGGAAATTTTTGCTAACTATTATACTTGGTGATGATCGAAGATGAATTGAAAGTTTGGACCGTGGCTGGATTCTTATCAGCGACCACTGGGTTTCCAGCCTGATGCTCTACCAACTGAGCTACGATGTCCAACTGCTGATCAGATTTTTATTTCACTGAAAGGCAATATGATGATACAAACCAGGTAAAAAAAAAGTTGTGTGATTACCTTGATATGATTACGACCAAGAGAGACGTCATTAGTAAATAACAGTGTCATGCTGTGGTGATATGTATAAAAAAGAGAGGGAACACACTGTAGTATATCAACTTTGCGGAAAAAAGAAGAAAACTATTTAATGGGTGATTTATAGAGGAACAGCTATACACCCAACTTCATTAAAAGATGTTTACATAACTCGTCGTCAACCAAAAAGTCAGTCTTGGAAACCAAAAAACGAATTGTCTTGCCTAACATGAAGAACGTCTACGAGATCATGACTAGATTATCGACGCCTTTTCGAATAGCTGTGATTCAGGAGCCCACAAAATCTCTCAACTTTCTGTTATACGGATAAAAAGATGCAATAGCGAAGGAGGACGATAAACCGCAAAAGACACTACTTCGGACAGAATGGTCACCCTCCTCATATCCATCTACATCAACGTCAAGTAGCATTGAAACATCATGACATATCTTCGCTCATATCAATCCATAGAGACTGTGGACATGAATTTGACTGGGAAAATGTGGAACTCCTGGATAGAGGAAATACAAAAAATGCCATAAGAGTTTTACAAAGTTGGTATTCAAACCAATCAGCTACCAATAGACACCTTGACCAAATCTATCGACCAATAAGAAACAACAAATTTCACGTCATCAACAAGACAACCAATCAAATTGAAGATGAAAACAATGATAAGACCTTAGGAGGAACAACCAATCACACACAAGGTCATCAGGACAATGTGTTATATGAATTGTGGAGAAAACCATATTGCTCAGTTGTTTCTGAACTTTTTACAGATACTGTCTAGAATGACAGTGGGAGGTTCACGATTAAACCATCCAGCGCAGTATACATAACACCATCAAAATTATCCCCCTGGGCTACAACTATTCTCCATCATCTTAAAAAAAACAATTATGAGTGATTGAACTACTTGAAAGTCAGTTTTAATATATAAATGTTGAAGTGGACTTAGAAACGACTACCACTGAAAGACACGCATGAGTTCAACTCAACGATTATGATACTAAGTCTACTTTCAACGTTTAATTGGCCAAATGGTTATCGTAGCTTGGTAGCATTACTCATCCTATTCACTCTAAGAACACCAATTGTGATCCGCAGGGGAAGGTTCAAGAGAAGTAAGTGTATCTCAGCATCGTCTTCTTCATGTGAACGCAATCCTTCAGGATAATTCCTTAACATTCCTAATCTATTTTCTGTAAATTTGTTCTATAGATTGAAGTCAAAGTGAAACCAGGTACTCATGATACAGAAGATGAGATCAACAAACAACTTGCTGATAAAGAACGTGTTGCGGCTGCTTTAGAAAATCCCAGTTTACTAAAACTTGTCAATGATTGTTTAGTTATACAAAATGATTGATGCATAAATCGTTTTCTTATCTAGTTATTCATATATACATATCAAGTTAATTTATGACAGTATCCCTGAGTTTCACTTCATAACTGTTTGGTCAATATGTGGTTTTTATTTTATTATATGTTTGTAAATACGCCTATGTGACATTTCAATATCTGTAAGCAGACGTTATTGACTCCAATAGGCGTTGAATGAGGGTGATGAATTTTATAGACAAATGGATGGTGTGTTAATAGGCTCACCATTCGACTGTCTACTGGCTGGTTGTTTTACGGCAAACCTGAAGACAGAATGACAAAATCAACGTACAACCTAGTACACAGATGTGTCGGCCCAAGTTGCTACACTTCACAGTAGTAAACAAAGAACAGGTGGATAGAAAAAGAGTGATCTCAGAGTAGAGAATTTGAAGATAACAGTTAATGCAAATATCTGCACCGCGGTCCCTTAGCGTGGCACATCGAAGTAGCCGATAGCTTGGACATGCACTGCGCATATCGAGCCACCATCACCTACCTTGGTGTTTCATGCTAGGGGAAGTAAGAGTTACGAAGTTAATACATTTATCATATTGACGAAACGTTAAGTATTGAGACCATAGTTAGTAATATAGACTTCAGGATCAAAATTCTACCTGAAAAAATAGAATTAAATAAATTGAGCATTGGGTAAAATGGACTATAAATGAAATATACGCTTCGTACAAGTCACTACACTTGCACAAGTTATCGCATATTTAAACAGTAAGTGGTGAAAAATCAGATCACATTGTTCCTACATGATAATAATATGGGAATAAGTGTCATCGTTGTCAGTTATTAGTCTGTGGATTCAAGGTGAAGGTGTGAAAAAATACTGGGGATGAGAAATTCAGTTTGCTTGTGTGTTAGGTATTAATAGGGATATACTGTCCGAGTTCGTTGAATAGTTAGGCCTTCTTTTCTGTTTAGCGTATTAGGATTCAACATGATGTGAAATACTTTAGTTGTCCATCTTTCCTTGTAGTTTGGAAAACCTTTTTAAATTTTGTGACTATGATAGAATTGCGACCCCCGATTTGATTTGTAAGTTCTCTAGTTCTGTTAGGTTATTTGGAGGTCGTTTTGTGTAACTTACATGTTCTTTATCTTGAATGAGGTTCTCATGGGACCTTCCCAATATAATAGGCATCACAATCGACACAGCCTAATCTATAGACACGATTCTGTGTGCGTGAACTAAAGCATTTCTGAAAATACTGGTTATTTTGTAGAAGGCTCTTTAAGATTTGTCCTGTTGCGAACTTAACAGACGCAGAGGCCAATCACTAATTATTCGAACTTGTTATATACCCGCGAATACTAGACCAAGGAAAAACACAATCGCGTACTCGAATGGAATAGTATATTTGGATGGTTGTGCAAAAAACAAACTCACTGGAGGGTCGATTACGAGCAATCCAAAGTAATACTAAATGGCGAGGATGCCTGACCGAGTGCCTTCAGCTTAGCGAATCCAGTTAAACTATCAAGGTCAGCATCAATGTTGAATGTCGTCAAACCCTAGGCTATTCATTTTGGAGAAGTGGGTGACGCTACAGCTCTATCCCGGTGTATTCTTGAAATCGTTTTTATCTCTTCATTTGTACCTTGACAGAATAGGATTCATCATTTAATCTTCCTCTTGGATTCCTCTGCAAATGGTTTTTAATTCTTTGAATGATATTATCAGAGTAGTTATTCAAGTATCCCACATCGATTATTTTTATTGCTTTTGTTTTTCTGTAAACTTCATTCGTGACGAGCTTTTTGGCCCTCTGGAATAAGTTCGAAGTGAGTAGAATTTCAGCACTGGGTGAATATGCTCAGTGGAAGTCAACATATCGATCTGAATGTGTTGACTTACTATAAATGGATTAACTTAGACTTCCATACCTTTTAAATAAACAGTCCTCGAATAGACATTCACCATTTGCATTCTCATATTCACATATGGGTTTACTATGTGGATAATAATTTAGAAAACGTCGCAAGGGTTGATGTTTTCAAAATTAGAAATCTATCGTCTACGAATCTAAGCAAATACGTGGTTTTTGATAGCGTTGGCAAGAATAATAGATGGGATCTGAGATATGAAGAGGTTTGCGGTGATAATTGTAACGATCAAAATTCAGGTTGGAAAACCTAGTCTAAACGTTGGAAGCAATTTAACACAAAGAAGCTAATGCGATCCAGACAAGTTACTGCGTTCTGCTGAATAGTTTCCCAAACTTCCTTGAGTCACTCACAGTCAAAGATTATGTTTCAACAAAATCAAAACATAATTTGACGTGACAGATTTGTAATAAACCTGTGGTACTATTATACAACAAGTTATATCAAAATTACACAAGTACCTGAACAATGCCGCTTGGCAACCATACAGTCCAAAACTTTCTCTACTACTGAATACATGCTATACAGCAAGAAATTGGTTCGCCAAATACACTTGTTAAGTATCTTAGAGACAACAAGAATATTCTCAACAAAACGAGATCAAAACTTTGTCTATAAGAACCAATCAATAAACATATCCAGTAAACAGTCAAAAGATGGAGAATCATTTCACAGCGCGAAAAAAATGTCGGTAACATTATAACGCTACGATGTCAACAATCCCGCATCACACAATAGCAAATTGGAGCGTTAATGATTAGTCTTCAACGAAACAAAGACATGTGATGAGTGTTAAGACAAGGAAGTCAGGCAAATGACAAAATAACTTTACATCGGTTAGCCTTAAAGGGTTATACATACAGAGAGAATGAAAATATTCAAACAAATATCAACACTTGGTTGTATTGTGTTCTCTGAGATGGCTGGGTTGTTTAATCGTGAAGAAGCTTTCATCGTGTCTCTCTAGACGACATCATCAGCACTAACTTCAGTATAAAGTGAGTGAGCTGTCAATATCTCTCCGTCAGTCATTTAGTAGCTTGCCCTGACCGACTGGTTTGTGATTGGTTGTTTCCTTTGATTGTTGTGTCATCGACTGACTGTATAGATTTTCCAGTTGGCTATCCCTCTGCTTCACCTCTGACCTTTCTGTCGTTTATCATCTTTCTTATTGGTTGATCGATTGGGTCTATGTCTATACATCTGTTGATTGTTGACTGACTGACCTGAATGGTGCCAAGCTTCTAGGAATTCTCTGACATATCATTTACAAAATAAACTGGAACAACTGTAGTCAACACTACATTGGACAAAGTGATCGCCCTCTTCGTCTACATGAGAATCAGTTGGCTATTAAACGCCACGACATTTCATCACTCATTTCAATGCATGTGGATAACAACTATGGACATGAATTCAATTTCGACAATGTAGAAATCTTGAATGGAGAGAGGAAACACAAAAGATATCAGAGAATTCCTAGAAGCTTGGCGCCATTCAGGTCGGTCAGTCAGTCAGCAATCAACTGATGTATAGACATAGACCCAATCGATCAACCAATAAGAAAAATGACAAACGACAGAAAGGTCAGAGGTGAAGCAGAGGGATAGCCAACTGGAAAATCTATACAGTCAGTCGATGACACAACAATCAAAGGAAACAACCAATCACAAACCAGTCGGTCAGGGCAAGCTACTAAATGACTGACGGAGAGATATTGACAGCTCACTCACTTTATACTGAAGTTAATGCTGATGATGTCGTCTAGAGAGACACGATGAAAGCTTCTTCAGGATTAAACAATTCAGCTCAAAGAACACAATACATTCACGACCATCGACCTGAGCTACAAATATTCTCCATTATTTAAAATATCAATACTGTCAAGTAGACCTGCTCAAAAAGGATTCTTATGTCACTTACTTCGTTACAATAATGGACACTGGTGAACCTGTTGCTGCTCCGTTTGTTTGTTTACATAATTTTCCTTTAAACATGAAGCATCGAATTTAAACAAATTTTTAGTGGTTTCATGATGAGGCTGGTATTCAACGGAGATCTGTCTGTCAACATGTGATCACACCCATGAACTCATATTTATTGTTTAAGGATAGAAGGCTGCATGCCTATATTAATCCTTTTTCAGTAGATTTCTGTGCTTGTCTGATCCCCTTTTGAACGAGTCGATTGATAGTATGGATACACCACTTCTTTTGTGAGTCGGTCTCAAGAGTTAATTACTCGGCACGATGACCGGTACTGTGTGGACACTACGTTAGTTCTTTGCTTTTGTATCCTCTTACTACGTCTTCTGAGGTATCCCAACCTAGTGGGATTCCTAGGATCAAGTGAAACAACAGCGTAACCTACCATTATTTGATTCGCTGAAATAAACAGTTACGATATTCCTAATATTTCATAGTAATCTTTAATTGAGTTAATAAGAGAGTTTCGGAGGGGTTTTAGTAATGATGCGAGATATTTTGATAATGTATATGTTGAAGAGTTTGTAAAGTGCACTATTGGCCTCAAAGGGACATCAACTTTCTGATTTTTTGGTAATCCGTAGAAGCATGATGATTTGCATGATTTTGGATATCAAGAAAATTGTAATAAGCCTCCAATGAATGGTGTCAGTTGCTTATAAAGCTGGCCTTTTGTCGTATTCGTATTGTTTATCACTACTTAGCACTTTTTTGATTCAATTTCTTCATAGGGATCAATTGAGAAGCGCTCAAGTACTTTATGGTCATGATCACTATTGCGTTTCCGTTACTGCCTTAGTGATAACGTTTTTTTTAATCTTCACCTAGATTTTGAAGAGCTGACCGTTTTTCTTTAGAAGCATTCGGTGGCATATATATTTGTTTTTGTCGGATATGGAATGATTTCTGACATGAGATATGAGTCTCTTTATCTGCTAGCTTTTTTTATTACTGGCTTTATAATTGTGGCCACTTCCAGAATGCTGAGTAGTTTCCTTTCTTTAATAATGTTGTAGCGTCATACACTTCCCCAAAATCAATAGCCTAGGGTTTGACGACTTTCGACATTGATGCTGACCTTGATAGTTTAACTGGACTCGCGAAG